ACTTCCAGTCATTTGAAATTTGTGCCTCAAGGTCTGATCTCCCTCTAGGAGTGCTTTTGACAGCCATGCTAATCAAATCTATCATTTTATTTAAAAGGTGAAGTTGAGAAACAGTGTGTATATCATTCCCTAATTATCCAGTGTATTTTGATTACCTGCAGTGATTACTAGGAGCAAACACTCTGACAGCGACTGTTCATATTTACTGTCTCCTGTTAGGGCTAGTCATAAGTCTTTACAGCCTCAGCAACTGTAGTTCTGGGACTTTGTCACTTTTACAAGGTTACAACAAAATGTTACGTAATTTATTAATTATTAAACTATAATAATTCATTATTTATTAACCTATAAACTATAAAAACTTATTATTATTATTATTATATTTAACATGACCAAGTTATACTACTATAATACATTGTTATGACATTTATTCTACAACAGGGAAACTACCCTGTCATATTTATTTGGTTAAATGAAAATCCAAAGATGAACCAGTTCCACTGGCTGTTGTGTCAAACTGTCCTTGTAATGGCCTATTTGAATGCTCCCACAGCTTAGTCATATTAAGGTATAAAAACAACAGTGGGAATGTGGCTTCAGATGATAAAGAACACAAGTGATATTGGGCTCTGGGATGTAAATTTGACTGAGGGAAAGATAAGACTGGATACTGCCTTTGTGTTAAATATCAGGATATCCCCAAAGGAATGTCCTATCTGTGTAATACTGCACACAAGTAAACATTGGGGAGGCGTGTCAATGCTATCAAATGACTAATTGTTCACAAAGCCTTGAATGTGTGCTATACAAGCGTATGAGTACAAGTTTTCACCAGCCGATGTGTAGCAAAGAGGGTGCCTTTTGATAGTGAAGTCTTTGTGTCCACTCCAGGCCGTGCGTGCATAGATTGTTGTGCCTGGTCAAAGTGCTGGACTGTGACTAAGGAGAACAGAATCTGTTACAGTGGGTCTGTGGAGTTTCCCCTAAAATGCTTTAGGAGGAGGATGGGGAGGTCCTGGGACATCCGGCGAATACAGCTGAAACAGTGCCCTAACTCACTAATGCAAATGAGCTGGTCTGAGGTCCCACAGCTCCCCCTCTCTCCTCCCTAACTCCCTTTTCTCTTTAGGACACAGTACAGAGGCAGCATGAAATCCATCCTGGGAGGGGCTATTGTAGCCTGCTCTGGGAAGCAACCGTCAAACTGGTGTAGTTGGGCTAGGCCAGGGCTTTGAATAGCCTAAGGCTCGAGAAGACTGCTCCTGAAAGCCAGGGTTTAGTCCTCACTGACCCCCTGATAATTCACTCATCCTATGGCTGCGGTCTGAGAGGGCAGCTAACACCACAGGCCCTGTGCTCTACAGCTCTCTGGCTTTGCTGACTCTCTGAAGCAGGCTCAGGTTTAATCGTCCATGATGGTGTGTACTCTGCCAGGGCCCACGAGAGTGTCTGCCGCCTCATCTCTTCATCTCTTGCTTTGGCTTCAAAGTTGCTGCGCTTGTCATACAGTGAAAGAAGCAGAGACCAACCCCCAACCTTCTCCCATCAATGGCCCTTATGGAGCTCAAGCTGTCAGTGCAACATGCTAACCTCCCTGACAATAGGAGGCAGATACTGGACGCACACAAGTACAGGTTATAGGGCTAAGAGTACAGTAAGGAGCCGTGTCTCACCTCCTTGTCCTCAGGCTATCCTCGCAGAAGCTTCAGGAACTCCCTGGTGACCCTTTAATCCTCCCATAAACTCTGCGGCCCGTTTTATCACACCGCCGGCCGCAGCCCACTCATCTTCATAGTTTCCAGCGAGGGCTGCTGCGAGTGGCCGAACACAGATTGAATTCTGCTGTTTACTTTCCCACAAGTTCCCTCTCGCACAGTGCTCACTAGCTGTTCGGGATGAAGTAACGCCTGCTCCCTCCCCTTTCTCTTGGCTTTGCTCCGGTAGTATTCCTCTCTGTTCGACCCACTCTGTCCCTCTCTTGTGCGGGTCCTTCCCCCAAACCTGACCCGTTCTCTTGTCAGTCTTTTCTTTGCTCCCCTCCCGCCTACAAGCCTCTGGACCCCTCACTGTTGCCCGGACAGCGGCAAAACATGGTTAGGGATCCCCACACGCACTGAACCAATGGCACCAGGACAAAGTCAGGGCTTTAGCCAATAGAGAGACCAGCTGGCGGCATTTGGACCAATCAGAGTAGACACTTATCAAATGTGGGCGGGTTTAAGGGAATTAAGGACTTCCGCGTTCAGGACCAGAGACACGCTCAACCAATCTGTATGATGGGTTTGTAGAGGCTGGTTATACAGCTGTAGGCATGATCAAATAAATTGTCATTGTACGAATTTATTCTCCAGTATCCTGGCTGGTACTTATTAGTAGCAGTAGACCTACCTAATAATATATGCCTAATAATATATATAGAAAAGTAACAACAAAAAAAGTTGGCATTAATTGACAGTTGTAAAGTTATGATTGCAGTGTTATTCAGAGTATACATTAATCTTTTGCCTAAAAAACGGACCTTTATTGCCTATAGGTCCTTTATTAATAGTCTATGTGACTGTAATAGGGTATAATTTTATTGAATGAATGATGATGATATTGTATATTACAGATATGTTTGTGTATTACATGCTATACCTGATCTTTTCATGAACAGAAAGGTAAAAGGGACTACAGACTAGAAGAAAATCTATGATACTGTCATCAAGAAGATTTATTAAAACACATTGAGCAAATACACATAATACAAATAAAAAGATGACTTTTTCATTCATTTGCTATACAGCACAAATATCTGAACCAGAATACTTGGAGCTGTCTGTCTGTAGATGCTAAAACACCAGCTTTAGTTCAAGTGCTGGACAGCAACTAAGGTGCCTTTACCAGGGTCTTTTGGTGGCTTTAGAAGCCACAGAATAAGCACATACCTGTACATACATTGATAATAACACATTAGACTGAAGTCTTTTCTCACAGAAATTACATTCATACTGACTTCAGTTTGATTGCATTTCATGTTTTTGTAGTAATTCTTCTCATTGTCATCACTCCATAGGGGAAAGGACATGACATTGATGGCACATACAGTGCACACAGTAGTTCTATGGCAACATCATCCAAACATTCAACTGTTTCAGCTCTATAAGAGATCTTGAAAAAGTCCTTCAAGTATTTACATGTTTCTGAGGTTTTATCTGTTAAGCAACCTTCATTACAACTTTCATTTTCAAGTAGATGGCTCCTACAGAAACAGTATCAACTAAACAGTATGTCTAAACATTATCAAAGAAAATATATGCCTCATTTTGTTTTTAGATTGAGGATACCTTAAAAACTCTATATTGGAAATGACAAGAGCACCGCGAGACAAACATTCAATGGCATTAAGTATAAGAGAATGCACTTACCACCAGAGCAACAGACCCACTTAAGAGTGATCTAAACAATCATTCGGCAAGGTAAAACTATTGTGGATGCAACAGCAGGAACTGAGCTTTGCAAATAAAATCATGCTCTAAAAAGACTGATTGTTTAGCTTTATAAGAGTGTCAGATTTTAGGACAAGATTAAAAGTACCTGGACAGTGCTAATCTGTCTTCAGGTAAAGCAGCAATTTTCCTTAAATGTGTTTAGTATTGCCCCTACTCTACAATAAAAAATACCAATGATACATTTCAGACCAACCATACAGATATGGACATCACCCTTAAAGAAGACATATTATGCTTTTGTCATAATCTATTGGACCTGTTGATTATTATTTTATATTTTAGATATTTTAAATAGCAACATTGATCTAAAATAATAAAAGAATCAAGTCAGCTAATTTCCAGTTGAAAACTGGGGACTGATTTCTGTCTGGCTCTTTACAGTATGCCACCATAAACATTATCACAACAAAGTAGGGCTCTGCCAGACCATCCTGCCCCATTTATGGAGAGCTACAGTTCACCACAGCAAGCAACAATTTAGTTTTTTTCATTTGTGCCAAAATGGTTATGCAATGCTGCTAAATCACAGATTAACAAAAAATAATAATTGGTGAATGAAGTAAGTACAGAGCAGTGGGCAAGTATAAGGGGGTAAGGAAAAATATACATTTTCAGAGCAATGGCTCTTGATTGCAAGAAAATAAAGATTACACAAACATGCATGAATCACTCTAAAGCAAATTTGAAGGAAGGGAAAATAATTATAACACTTACGAGTGTATTTGCATTATATGTCCTCTTTAAAATATGTCCTCAGGGTTAGAGTTAATCTGTACACAGATGAAAATAGCCTAGTTGTATAATAAGAATTCACAGAGTTTCATGTTAATGCATGTTTGGTCAATCAGAGTCCCTGTTTTTGTTTAGTCCCTGGTTTATAGGTCTGCAGTTAAACTTACCACCAATAACATTCAAACATGAAGGAATCACAATTGAATGTTTGTACAATATGCAAATAATCAGTCACCTCTATAGTCGACATGTACAGAAACCAGAGTCTGAGAATATCCGTGTCTGAAATTTCACATGGCAAGTTTACAGAGCAGTACAGTGTGAATGTCTAAAGACACACAATATTTGTAAGTAAAATTGTTGGTCCAAAATAAAACTCTCTCATCTTGGTATGACTGCAAAAGTACCATTATAAGGAACAGCCTCCACTGGGACACAGTCAGAGTGCACAGTGAGGAGGCTCACGGACAAATGTGAAAGTGAGCAGACTGAAGATATCACAGAAAATAAATTACACATTTGAGATGAACACAAAAACAGCAGAAGTTTATCGTCAGTCACTCAAACGCTGCTGCTTCATTTACTCATCAGCTCACTGGCACAAGTTAGCAAAAGCTAATATTGATTGACATACTTACATTGGATCCTTAAAAGATAAAAGTGCAATTGTTATAATAGATACATCTGCATTGATCCAAAAGTTAAAGACCTCTTTCTCATTAGTTTGATTATTTTCAAAATTAAGTAAGAACAAGAGAAAGAGCTCAATGTGGCAAGAGGAGAAAGTCATCTCTGCAGATACCATCCCTGGATGTCTGACCACTGGTCAGTGAAGAGAAACAAACAGTCTAATCCTCAATGCAGATGACATCGCTGGGTTTGCCCGACTTCAGATCAGGCGTGGCCACATCTCTCAGAGACTCAAGAGACTTCTTGTCCAGAAGGCTTGGAGGGGGGCCATTTGATGACACTGTCAGGATAAATACAATAATTTCTTTAGTAGTGCAAGAGTGCCACTATGTATTTGTTCTGGTAGGGGTCCACCACCTGCTTTTCTCCATAGATATGTCATTGCTTACCCTAAAATGTTTTACAGTATGTCATTAAACATATCTATTTCTGTGGAGACAAGCAGGTGATGCTGTGTCACTGTGGAATATGGAAGTGTTTACTTGTATTAGTTTTGCTCAGTGTACCTTTCATTGATTATAGCCTCCCTTACCGCTGACATAAGGTCCCAGAGGCATCTGGCTGTAGTTGACCATGGGCTGACCTCCAGGCCCTCTGAACCCTCCAAAGCTGCTGCTGTACATCTGGGAGCAGCCAAACCCCCCCTGACCAAAGGGCTGAAAAACCACACACAAATCAAAGATCGGTCACACTGCCCACAATGACAAAGCACAGACAAGATTTCTGACTCTTTCTAAGGTTACAACAAACATCACCATAGAAACCAAGAGCACACAGCAACAAGCCTGTTAAGCCAACAGCTATTCACTGGGACATAGATCAAACTCCACACCAAGTTCACACCAAGAACACCAAGGCTTTGCTATATGTTAAAGTTATCATTAGGACTCTAGTTGTATAGTCATGTGTCGACATGTTTTATTCAAATAATGACTTTATTAAGATTATACAAATTTATATGGGCATTAAGAGAAAGGAAAAAGTATAGAGTGAGTCAGTTGGCATTGACAGTTTAATCTGCCTTTTCAATTATGAAGATGCTGTTTACTAGTACTTCTCTGTATAAATAGTTGTTTTTTTACAGGATCCTAATAATTTTGAGAGACTTTGCCATGTCCCCTTTTTAATCAATTAATCAACACATAGGGCATGTCTTTAGTCATCCAAGAATTTCTTATTTCAGGCCTACAAAAAGTTTTTAGGAAATTGTGAGAAATAGTGCACTAGAAGTTAAACAAACTAGGTTATACTACGACTGAATGAGTCAAGTCTAAACCCAGACTGACTGTATAAGTTCCCAAGCAAGAATCCAAGACATGAAAATAACTTTATCATGAATCCTTAACCAGAGAACAAATCAGTAATAAAACAGTATCTTAAATCAATCAGAACATGTCATGAATTGCAAAAACACTCAAAGAAGTTAAGAGTATAACTAGCATTACAGTTTGAGAACCACAGCTGAGGTAACCCTTCTAAACAGTCTGCCATGACCCGGGATACAGTTCTGCGATCCATAAAAGCAATAAAAACCATTCCAACCTGTGCTGAATCCTTTGAGACTGAAAAACTGTGAGTAAAAATTGAACTTCAGGGAATTCTTTCTCTTGCACCTGGGGAAGCAGCTCTGTGGGGGATAGGAGAGCACCAGCCTCCATGGTGTTCTGAGGAAGTAATTTGGCAGTCGTGACTACATAACACCTCAAAGTCTTGTGCCTTTTATTTCTACAACACATAGAGCCCAGATAGTGTTTAATGAGCTCAGTGTCTTTACTCCCTTTAACAATAAGCATCTGCTGTAAATGGCCACCATTAGAGAAGGAGCCCAGCAAAAACAAAAGCTAAAAATCTAATCTCAAGATAGCCGTTACAAAGCATGTTATTACAGATGCCTCTATTTGAAATAATTAAGGCTATAAAGCTGAAGAGTAGTGGCTATTTTGGGAAGTACAAAATTGGCCATAGAGTTAAATGTAAACCCAAAATGGAACACAAAAAACACATTTCAATCTAAAAATAATTACACAATATTTCCATTAGGAAAGTAGCTAAGATTGTGTAAGAAAAAAGAAGATCACAGACTAATATATCCTATATAAAAAACATTATCTCTGATTACACCTACTTGACCAACCATTTTGGTACATCTTCATTAGTCAGGAGCTCAAAACAAATAAATGGAACTGAATGATAGAGTAATGAACAAATTTAAAACCTTTTGGGGAAAATGGATATATTTGTACAAAAACAGAAATTATATGATACCATGTAGCACGTCAAAGCAGTGCTGACAAGTCATGTGCGCCAAACTTTTTTTTTTTTTTTTTATGAAAAGAGTAAAGTTTTGTGCTCGTATTTGATCGTGTGACATTTGTGCAACTCCTCAGAGCACCGACAGGGCTGGAGCTTATTGATTTAGTGGTCGTGGCACTAGTGCTGATGATTCACTGTTTGCTATTAGCTACATATTATGTGTGTAAAGAAGGAGCCTGAGAGATACTGGAGTTATGATCATGTAGATTTGTGAAAACCAATTTAATAGCATAATAGCCTAAATAAATGTTTAAATATGAAGAAAAAATAAGCATCCTCCCTTCTGCTTTTTGGACAGATCGCATCCTGGTGACTGTTCAAGAAGCAGTAAAAGTATGGTGTCTGGGGTACATATACATTAATCCCAAATCTTTAGCCCATTAAAATTGTACTCTTTGAAACTGTAGGATTTTCTGAGGTGCCAATGTAAACAGTTTGACAAACCCTGGTCTACTGAAAAACATATCAGAATTCTTATTGCATTTTTCTCTTTACATTTCTGTCTGAGGTGTGTAGTCCCACCTGCTGAGGGGGAGGCTCAGTGCCCCGACTGGTGAGGCGGCTCAGGATGCTCCTCTCAGACATCTGCAGCCGCGCAGACACTGGGGGGATCCTGGACAGCATGTTGGGCAGTCGAGTCACATCAGCCTTCATGTCACTCAGAAGCTCCTCCAACTGGTTCAACACTGCACAGATACACAAACACGTAAAGGTGCATTGTGTAACTTATCTTGTGGAAGGTCCATCAAATGTTGTTCTTCATGGAGATGTTATTGCTTTGTCTGGAATATTCACAGTACGATATTAAACCTTTATCCTTAACCTTATCTTCATGGAAACCAAACCAGACCAAGTTACAGGTCAGAACTGTGGAGAGGCAACCCTGCTCACAGTCAGAATGCCTGTTTTTCAAGGTGTTTTTCACAGTGCACCTTTAAATAATCTTTTACCAGTTTAGTTTTACTGAGTGTTCTCACTTGAGTTTCATAATGTTTGTTATGTTTGAAGCTAGATGCAACCTTTTCCTGTTATTATTAATATTATGGTAATGAGTCAAAAATGTGCCAAAACGTTAATGTAAATGTCTTAGTCGAGGTTCAAATATCGGGAAAAAGGTGAACAGACAGTGAAATCATCCAATATAATGGAACAATATAATGCTACAACCCTATTTGAAAGACCACACTGCATTTTTTACAAAAAACTTTGTTTAGTTTTAAGTATATACAGTAAATCTAATAGAAGATACCACTGTTACTGAAGAAATGCATTTAAAAAATCTAGCAAAATCCCATTTTAAACTAGTGGGCGACCTCAATTAAAACTGATTAATGTGTGATCCAAGCCTTGAAAATTAACAGCTGCCAAGAAATAAATGTCATAAAATTTCTCACTGGCAAATGAATTAGTATGGGTCACGGACAAGAATATTATTCAATGCCTTCTTTGGTTTTTGGACACATCCCAAACTTCTCACCCCTCTAATCACAGCGTTACTAAATTAAAATTAAATGGAGCTGCAGTGTCCAACAGGTTCTCAATTAGCAACCAGTGTGACTAGTGCACAGTATTATATGAAAAAAAATACATGATATGTGTTTTCAGTTGGCAGAAAAATGTAATAAACTGTATGATGAATGTAATATTGATGCTGAGAAAACATCAGTAACTAAATTATGTTGAACCTTCAATAATTACAAATAGCAGTCTATGAGCAGATAGACATAATATGACTTTGATGATTTTGTTAATAACCCAACAAAAGCCCCATTCCACATCAACATATATCATAGATCAGTGGTCCTCAAACCAATTAAGGAAATATTTGACCTACTGTGTACCACCAGGACAATTCTAGATCCAAACACAACTAAAATATAATTATTACACAATTGCAAAACAAAAATAAACCCAAAAAAAGATATAAATGTGGACTCTGAAAACAGCAAATATTAGAAATGCAGAGGAATTAGCATACCACAAGAGGTTCACATAGCACAGTTTGAGAACTACTGTCATAGACCATTAGCTCAATTTCAGACTTCCAGGTTGCTACACATCTTCAGTCCAATTTTATCAACAGACTCCAGGCTAGTGCTTGATGAAAGAAAAAGAATTTACAGTCCAGGTTAAAGGTTTATGGGCTACCTCTCTTGTGCCTGACCTAGTGAGTACAGAGGCCTTATTTAAAGCTGTTGAAAGTAGAACAGTTACCTTTGTGCAGTACCGCATTAGCAGGCTTGTTCCCAGCTAGAGACTCTTTGGACAGATGTTGGTGGGATTCTGCCAGACACTCCACCTCAGCGAAGCGTGTGTTTAAGGCCATAGCTGGGTGACTGGGGTCCTGGGTCATATTCAGGTATGCTGCCCTCCTCAGCTGCTCCTCAATGACCAAGGCCTGCTCCAGTAACTAAACACAGAGTGCAAAGAAGTTTCTCAACTACCAATGTCAATACTTAACTCTTTTTTTTTTCCCTAAACTTAAAAGCTGGTCGTTCCTTTCCACCAGTGCTTACAGAGATAAGTTCAAGTTCATCCAATATTTTACTTCGTTTAATTTGTCTTTTAGGTGTAACAAATCCACTAATCCAAATTATTTCAGCCCCGAGCTGTTGTTTTTAATTAAAGACAATTGCCTTAAAACGACGCGCCAGAAACTTGTTCTTCATCTCTAGGTAGTTGCCTTTATGCATCTCAGTCTTGAAAGGCTCATTCAGAATTGCATAACGGGGGTCATTCTGGATGTCCTGCCAGCGGGCGTATCCATGTCTGAGAAAAAAGAGTTAGGGAAAACATCTACACAAATAAACTGTATAATATGTAACCTTTTTTGGTCAACCTTTGTTGTTTTTAAAGTGTGTTATAAATAAAGTTGCATTTGTTTATAAACATTTACCATGCACAAGGTAGTATTCTGACTCCTGTCTGTAAAACCGGTTTGTATGTTCTTGGCCTGTATGGGTTTCCTCAGTGTATTTCTGCTTCCCCCATTAACCTATTATATGCACAATAGGCTGATTCTCTACCTAGATCTAGAGACGGATCCCCTTGTGCTGCTCTGTGGTTCAGTAGCTGCTTGGCCCTTAGCTTCTAACTGATGTTTTTGATACTATCACTTCATTGGTAAACTAGAAAAGCACTCAGAGAGCGCAGACTACCCCCATTTTTTATATAAATTGCGATAAAATCAGTCTTCTGGATCAGATCTGGATCAGCCTTTGGAATATGAAAGAGGATCCCATTGTCCATCCCTGAGTCAAATTTCATGGGGTTTGGTCAATAATTAGCCGAGATATTTACCACAATGTTAACTACAATTTCAAAGTGATCCAGAATCCAGGATTTCTTCCGGATCACCCCCAAAATGAAATCAGTTTTTCCTTTTCACATTTACAACAAATCCCGAAAATTTCATCAAAATCGGTCCATAACTTTTTGAGTTATGTTGCTAACAGACAAACAAACAAACAAACAAACAGACAAACGGTGGCAAAAACATAACCTCCTTGGCAGAGGTAACAAAAACAACAAAAACAACAACAACAAAAACTGTAGGCCTAGTAGCTCAGGGTGGTTTCCACACTACAGTTACCCCACCTGTGTCAATTAAGATAGGCAGAATACACCAGATTGACCCCTAAGGCACCACCAAATAAATTAGGCTATTATAACCTAATGAAAATATTAACAACTAGAAAAGCACTCAGAGAGCGCAGACCTCCGCCAAGGACTACCCCCATTTTTTATATAAATTGCAATAAAATCAGTCTTCTGGATCAGATCCGGATCAGCCTTTGGAATATGAAAGAGGATCCCATTGTCCATCCCTGAGTCAAATTTCATGGGGTTTGGTCAATAATTAACCGAGATATTGAGAAACAAAATTTTTGGCCCCATTTACCACAATGTTAACTACAATTTCAAAGTGATCCAGAATCCAGGATTTCTTCCGGATCACCCCCAAAATGAAATCAGTTCTTCCTTTTCATTTCCAACAAATCCTGAAAATTTCATAAAAATCGGTCCATAACTTTTTGAGTTATGTTGCTAACAGACAAACAAACAGACAAACAAACAAACGCCGGCAAAAACATAACCTCCTTGGCGGAGGTAATAAAAAAAAAAATTATACAAATTTGAGCTTAGCGGGTATAACTTAAAATGGCCTCTACAGATGACTGGGACAAGTTAATTTAATACAAATAATTTGTATAGGGACGATTAAGTGTGAAGTATCCTTAACCTACGTTAATCTATAGCCTTGACATTTAAGTCTCATTATAAATTGCCATAATGAAGAGATGGTCTGTGTAATTCACCTACTCACCTCATAATCCAGTCATTGTAATGATCACCATTAGTGTGCATTGCTTTTCATCTTATTTAAATAGTATCTCCATCCTCTGAGGCTCCTCTCATCACAAGTACTTACACCACTCGGCCAGATGATGGGGCCTATTTTGGACTCACATCTGGGAAAGGATACGTTACAATGCCAGCCAATAGCCAGTAGTCATGGCGACGATGCCAGATGTCATGCATTTTTCCAGAAGACAGCGCTGCTCGCTCCTCGGTCTGCCAGAGGGTGTGTAACTCTGGGGGAGTAAAACCACAGAAACTCCAATTCACCAAGAGTAATTTCCAAGGCGTTTTTTGGATCCAGATGATGGAGAGTAAAAAACCTTTGTGATAATAATGCAAAACATTGGTGCTGAGTAAAAAGTTGAAAGGAATTTAACTTGGTCTGGCCATGCTACCTTAGAAGTAGAAGTCGCAAACAACTCAAAATCATAGACTATGGGAATAACACTAATTACACAAACGTATTCAGTATTTAATAGTAAAATTTAAGGGTGTAGATAATAAACTACTGGTAAATAAAGTGGAATAGAGTAAAACAGTACACCAGGATTAAGTTCAGACAGCTGGAATTAATGCAAAATTTTAATTACGATTTTTGGCAGTGGTGGCTTGAAAATGTGCAGGCCAATGATAACAAGGATTAGTGTCATCCTAAATACACCTCAGTTACTCCACTGAAAACTGCTTTAAAGGCCAAAGTTGCTCTATTTTATTTTTTTTATCAGAGTACAATATTGTAAAAATGTATAATGCAGGCTCTGTATCCAGCTTGGACCCACAATTTATTAAGCCCCCAAACCCCTCATTGGAGAAGGTAAAAAAAGTAGATATCTGTATGCAACTTTTGGCTATCTCACTATCATAAAGCTGAGTTTTTGTTTTACCTGTAAAACCGCCATCAGCTATATTGAACATGAACTTGGTCTTGTATCCATTCTTGTCCTCTGGTCCTTTCCTGCTCTCCTCCATCTCGTCCAATGTGTCTTTGTCTCCATTTATGCGTCCCTCTGAAACATCTTCACTTTTCACAACATCAGCAGGAGCTAAAAAAAAAACAAAAAAAACACTAGAATAACCAAGCATTAGACATACAGTGCCTCACTCCATCAACCTTGACAATGAAGATATATTTTACGTCTGTATTTTGTATTTACCCGTCTTATTTTCCTTGTCTTCGCTTTTTGCCTGAGGGGAATAGGCCTCTCCTTTCTCCGTAGTCTTCTCTGTTTCTTTGCTGGTGTCCTCTGAGGTTATCACAAGCCCAAAAGCATCAATTAAAGCCCATACAAGCCTCGCGGATAAATAAACTTTGCAGCACAGCGTCAGGTACAGGGAACTCACCTTTAGGCGAAGTTTGACTGGATGACAGCTCAGTCTGCTTCAAACCAAACTCTTTGAGGTTGGCAGATGATTCGGTCTTAGCACAGGGCGACTGGGCAGGGTCCCTCTCATCTCCTGGTTTCTCCTCTGGGCCGGCCTTGGCCTCTTCGCTGTCAGCCGACTTCTCAGGCGCAGCTGCTGGTGCTGTCTCTGAGCTGGGAGTCTGCAGGGGAAGAGACGAGACAGACAGCGAAGAGCAGAAAGAGTTAGAAAAAGGGCAAAGAGAAAAGTTAACGGGTGTTGAAGTTTGACAGAGGGTACAACATTGTGTTTGGTTAAAATATCTGGTTTAAAAGCGATGAAACGCAGGTCAATGTAGAAGACAGGAGATCAGAAGGAATGCAAGAGTGTTTAGTAATAAAAACAATAAAAAAATAACGAGCTACTCTAACGATATTGTCCTAAATGTTCTATACTAAATAATTTACCACTTATTGCTAACAGAGTTTGGGACTGAAACAAATTGTACCAAAGCCAAGGCCTGTTGGGCACTAGAATATTCAGATCCTTCTACCTTCTTGACATTTATTGGGAAAAGTTGAACAGTCTCACTTTACTTCGAGGGGGAAAAACACCTCAGATTTGGAGCATGTCGATAATCAGCCCTGCCACTTCACACTTGGCTATAAACCTGCTCTATATAACAAGATTAATTCAAACTGTCTTACCAGCACCATCTAACAGCAAAAATATGTTAATTCAACACCCTAATGTTCACTGAATAGTTATAAACCAGGGCTAATTAAATGTAATGGCTAAATTATGACAAATACATTACTATGGGAAAACATCTTACTTCCTGGTCTGACAGCTTTTTGCTCTCCGGCTCTGGACTGTCCTTGTCCTCTGTTGTTCCCGCGAGAGATTCTGGTTTCTCTGCAGCGCAGAAAAAAACAGTTCATAGTAGTGAACATATAGCTGTGGTAGTAACATAATGGCGTTCTATGGCAGTCTATAGGCTTACCCGGTGGGACAGGAGTACTGGGTTGTGTGGTGACTGGACTGGCTGGAACAGGGGTGTTAGGATCTGACGATACACTCTCAGTTAATTTCTTCAGCTCCATCCCAATAGGAATCAGATCGGGAGAGCTCAGTTTGCCATTTACATGCTCAAACTCCTGAACCTAAAAGCCAAATTATAGCCAGATATTCAAAGCTTGAAATTCCAGGAAAAAGCCTCAAATTTTGATACATAAGATAGAATCCATGAACACTGAGGTCCTAAATATATGAGATGTTAAAAGTGCAGATTTTGCCTGTGATAAATGCTGAGTGGTATGATTCACTTTCCCCCAGTGAATAATGTACATAGCATTTCTTATCGCAACCTAAGAGAATCTATTTCTACTTCAAAAGGTGCTTTAGTCTGACATCTCCAAAACGACATGTTCTTCCTGCCAGCCTGTGCCCAGACAGTTTGACCTACTTTGTCTAATCTCAAAGTGCCCTGGAAGAACAGTGTGTGGATGAGATGAAAACCTATCTTTTCCATGTCAGAATAACCCGTACCTTCTTCCTAACCAGAGACATGACACCGATCCTAGTAAGGACATGCTGACGGGACAGTCCCTCTCGTGGGACCCCGTCGGCAAAAGTCTCTGCTCCATCTGCTCCTGGTTCACACAGATGCCTCATAAAAAGAGACACATAGGCCCTGTTGAAAGAGGATTACAGAACTTAGGCAGAAGGATGGAGTTTCAAAGCAAGATATTGAAAATTGTAATGAGCAAATTCTACATAATATATATCAAGAAGAAAAGTATGTGTTGCTATTGACTGGGGAAAAAGTAGAAGTTTGAACTGTTTTCAATCTTGTCTGTGTTTACACTTAATGAGGGCAATACATCACGCGCTCCAAAATGAAATATTAAATGCCAGGAAATGTTCGCCTTGGGTGCAAAAAGGATAAACAGCACACTTCAATAAACTAAAGAAGTATAACTTTGTAGCTTTTTGATGCTGTGGAATGGTGAAAAGTGACCAGAACCTAGTATCTGTAGTCATTTTAAATGCAATAATCAGGCTGAAAAAGGCTTAATATCATGTTTTTATACCTGTCAACAGTCTTGAAAAAAGGGTATTTTATTTCTATGAGGTATTAATTCACTTCAGTTCAAGATTATTTATATAGCACATTTAAAACAACTGCTGATCAAAGTGCTTCACATAAAAGTCAACAAAAACAGAAGAAACACTTACATATACATATATACAGATAACATGTGAAAACTACAGTACAATAAAAACATCAAATACTAACACATAACATATTTAGATCACCATGGAACCTTTTGTTTTGAAATTGCTATATTTGCTAAAAAACAATGTATTGACATGTTCTGTACGTTTCGCCTTGGTTTTTGATGCTGTGTCTTCTTTCCCTTTGTTCATCGTGTTTAGTTACTACCCCTTCAAAACGCTATCACAACACAATAGCATACATCCCACTAATGAAACTATTGTACATCACTTCAAGTTTCTCAGGTTGTTGTGTACAGTTTTATATCTTTTTTCTATATTTATGGAGAATTGACATGTGGCAGTATGGGTGAAGTAGACTGTGCAATGCACAGAATCTTACAATTACTTTAAAAAGCTTTAAAGAGTTTTTGCATAATACTCCCTCTTTAATAATCAATATAAAATTATGAAATAAAGGCTGTGCAGTCTTGATGTCATTCATTACACATGTAATTTATGACAATTTGGGTAATTCTCAATTCATTCAATCGACAAATTTCAGTTAAGAATGTTTCTGGGTGTTACCTGAACTCTCGCTCGCTCTTCCCCTTCAGGTCCCGGACCAGCCAGTGAGAGTTGAAGGCATCCTGAGGAGGCATCCCCCAGCGCATGATGGCATTGAGGAAGGCCTTTCTCTGGCGAGCATTGAACCCAAGCACCTGCATATTTCAGAAAACAAAGATTAAACAGTGAGACAGTCTTGTTGGATTTGAAAATACACTTCCTTAAAGTCACAGATTGTAACTTTTTAGCCAAAAATAGACTAAAATATAAACATGTTTTGTTTTGTTTTGTTTTAAGAGCACCTTCTTTTAAAAAGCATGTGTCCCTACACTGAGCAGGCTTGCATTGCCACAAGCCTAACTTTGATGGAGGATTTCTTTCTGCTTGTTTCCATGGAAATCTTATCATAGTATGATATAAAACATCACTATCTATATGGAGAATGTTCTGAAGTATGGAAAATTACATACAGTGTCTTTAAACTATGTGCACTGACAAACATTATAAACCATAACATTGTGAATTATAAAGTGTTATATTATAGGAATGACATAATACATAAGATGTTCAAGGGCAACTGCAAACTACTATGATTTCTGTGTATCTTTTGTACCTCAATACTGCCCCCAACCCGTGCCAGCAGTGGAGGCAGAGGTTTGTCTTTGTCACCCCTGAGCTGTCGTCTGGACTGTCTACGTCCACCTAAAAAATAAAAATGTCAATAACACTGAAAACCTTATTCACAAAGTTAACAAAATATTTTAATATGTTTTGTGTAGTGTTGCCAAACTGTGTGGGATTAAACATTTTACTTTGGACTTACCTTCAGGTCTCTCCTCAAAGTCTTCGTCCTCATCCTCGGACCCCACAGAGTACTCCGACTGATTGTCTGAAAGATCATCTTGCCACTCTGAGTCACACATCAGAGAGAAACAGTACATTGCACAATCGCTCCCACTGGTGGCCACCTGAGGGCGCCATGGCACTGCAGATTACTACAGACCACTATATCATGCACTACCAATAGCCTACCATTTCTATTTCCAGAGGTTGCTGTTCCATTGTGCATAGTGCAGTTGCTCTAAACTCTGGGTGTATTTTGGACAGCACCAGTGTTTAGTTTTATCTTTAATTAACCTGTGGTAATAGGGACCTTGAAACTACTGCACAAAGTACTTATCCGTAAAACCAATTAGATGGAGCATTTGAGAGCCAACTGAGAAGGCTATACAAAAGATACAATAGTTTTTACACTGACGAAATGGAGGTCAAAAGCTCTTGTTGAGACTCGCAGGCTAAGAGGATTTAATAAACAAGGTGATTAATTTGTATGCAGCTATTTCCTGAACCGATAAATCCAAATTATTCTGTGTTAAGATACTGTCACCTTGTTAGCCCGCTAATGAGGCAATGTTCGGTTGGATACCTGCACAGCACTGCTCTGTTATTGAATTAGCATCGGGTCGTTAACGAGACATCAAAATAAATCAAATGTGTTGATGACTAAATGCTCTTGACCCGTACTTAAAGGAAAAATCTATTCAAAATTAGATTTCTGGGATGGTGTGCAATGTTTGTGTGAAATTGCAAGGCCCAAGGTTACAATTGAAAAGCAATTATTTCAACAAAAGGGTATTATTCACCTTTAATGGAAGTTGTGTTTTTCAGCTGCAGTGTATTTACAATTACTACTGTTATGTAGAGGGTTATTATACATAGAAATTCTGAATTATGTTGCCATATTTTCGGGCATTTTACATTTTCTTTAGTTTTATAGGGTAGATAGTACTTTTTATTTGTTCAATAATATGTATAAGAATATGACCATTCTAAAAGGTTATTTTACTAAAGGCATGATCCAAACTATTATGCTGGAATTGACTTGAAATTACTTCCCTTATAAATATCTCTTACCACCCACTTCTCAGTATACTATCCTAGTCCGAGAACCATAATTTACTCATAATGCAAAGTTTTAATTTTTGTATTAATCAACTACACATTAATGTCATTTTTTACTATTTCTTTAACAGAAAGTCCATTTCACTTTATTATCGGTACCCTCTATTCTCATACCACCTCCACAACTAATTTCATGTCCTTTTTCACTACATCCATAAATCTCTGCAGTGTTTCTCTAGAGCAATGACCTAGTTTGAGTCCCCTATAGCTACACTAAAGCAAATTATATACCTGAACTTGAAAAAGGCCATACTTACCTTGAAATGCAGCTAAACAAACCACTATAAAATATACCCAACATTTTATGACTTGACTATACTTAATATTTGAGACCAGAAAAACGTGCAGGCGCTACCTTGGTCCTCCTGAGTAGTATCGTTGTAGTTGACCTGTTTTCGGATGCGTTTGCCCTTGCCCAGGTTGCGGGCTAGGTCTTCCTGCTGCTGTTCGTAGTGGTGGCGCAAAAGTTTTTCCCAATAATCTGGATCCACATTCTCCTCCTGTTTTATGATCTCCCGCTCAACCTCCTCCTGCACAGGCAAATGACAAATGAAAATACACCATAAAAATGGAATGGTTTACCTCTAAGCTTAATGTATCATTCGTTTTTGCCCTGAAGCATATGTAAAGTTAATCAACATTTACAAAAAGTATTATTTTATCATCATCATTCACTTTCCAGGCTATGTTTTTCAAAACAGTTAATGAAGACAAAGAGTAAATGAATCCATTAATTTACCTGGTTACTATACTATAACAATCTGTTAGGCCTATAATAAAAAGTATCGGTCGCTGAGACAAGTAAGGTATGTTATTTTAGATCTATATCTATTTAGACATATTACTCACCTCTCCATCCTCCTCCTTCACCACGTACTGGGCCACCTTAAATGAGCTCAGGTACTCATTCATGTTCTGGATTTCTGTGTCTTCAGTCGCGTCTTGGCTTCGATCCAACAGTTTGGAGATAGCGTCATCGTCATAATGAATCACATTACACTCTTCACCATCCTTGTTTTCACCTAACCAACAAAACATTTAGTTAAGGTACGCTTTATTGTCCCCCTAGGGAAATTTGTCCCCTGCATTTGACCCATCCTTCAATGCCGCTGGAGCAACCTGTCAGGAGCAGTGAGCGCCACAGAGTAGCATCCGGGCACCCATCTCCAGATCTTGTGCTAGGTTTGGTCGGAACTATACTTTTGCTGGAAGATTTACCTTTTTGGATTGATGGGGGAAACTGGAATTCCCAGGGAACATGCAAACTCTGCACAGAAAGGTCTGGGCGGTTCTGCCTATGGGAGTGCTAACCATTCAGCCAATGTGTCACCAAATTTAAAGTTAAATCATTGTGGGAGGGGGCTTTTAATAAACATTAAACATTCCTTTTTTGTATGTTTCAGAGACTAGTGCTTAATGCTTTAGGCTTTGGTAGGATGCCCCATAGACAAATGGAGAGTTACTCACAGGGCTAACAGGTACAACACTAACAGAAAACCATGAAGGAAATACATTTCACCAGAAGAGTCAGAGAAGGCTAACAGTAACAGGGGCAGACTACAGGGAATGAGCACTGTCTTTCCATACACCCTCCTAAAAACACCTTGACCAATAATATGATTGATATGATGACAATTTAATAAATGTTATACTGTGAATAGTAGAGAACTACTTGTCACTCACCTACTGCCTCCATTTCATTTTTAAACAACTCCTCAGTGCCAAACTTGAGGATGTCGTCCAGTTCTTGTTTGGACATGGATCCTGTTTTAGACCCCAGACCAGGGCGGACCACTAGGTGAGTCAGCATCATCTTCCTCTTGGCCACTTGAGTGATACGCTCCTCCACAGAGCCACGCGTCACAAAGCGGTAGATCATAACCTTTTTGTTTTGTCCAATACGGTGAGCTCTGCTAAAAGCCTACAATAAAAAAAATATATTAAATTAAAACAGTAATAATTAGTTGTATAATGTAATATAGTAATATTTTGTACTTGTATATCATTGTGAGGATTCCAGTCTGAGTCATAAATAATAACTGTGTCTGCACTGGCCAGGTTGATCCCCAGACCTCCAGCTCGCGTTGACAAGAGGAAGCAAAACTGTTGAGCTCCAGGCGCTGTAACAATAACAAATATCAACATCAAACTATGTCAAAAGTGTAACAGGACAAGAGACTTAATACAAATAAAGAAAAAATAACGTGCCATTAAATCGGTCTATGGCCTCTTGTCTCAGTCCTCCAGTGATTGCACCATCTATGCGTTCATATTTATAACCCTCATACTCCAGGAAGTCCTCAAGCAGATCCAGCATCTTTGTCATCTAAATCAAGTTCAAATCAAATCAAGTTTATTAATAAAGCACATTTAAAACAGCCAAAGCTTACTAAAGTGCTAAACAAAAACAACAATACAACAATATTAAATATATAAAAAAAATAATAATAAAGAAACAACAGAGTGAAAATACAGTATAATATAAAACCAAGATGTCAGTCTTTCTAACTAGTATCAAATGATAAGGTGTGTTTTTAGTATCTACACTGTAAACACAAATGTTTGAGAAAATCCTATTACTTGCTGTCTACTATATGTGTAATTCATTACCACAATTACACATAATGTCTAGTATAAAATAGATAGCATATTTTACCTGAGAGAAAATAAGAACTCTGTGGCCTTCATCCTTCAGTTTCTTAAGCATTTTCTGAAGCAGTGTCAGTTTTCCTGAGGATTTCACCAACAGATTGCCATCATATGATCCATTGGGTAAAACTGGGGCCTCCTGTAAAATGTTTAGGTTGTCAACATTTGAAAAGTGTTACATTCATGCAAGTGCCTATTTAAATAAAAATATATTCTTTGACCTACCCCAGCTGCCACTGGGAACAGATAAGGATGGTTGCAGCACTTCTTCAGATCCATCATTATATTGAGTAATGACACTTGGTTTCCACCTCCTTTAGAGTTCAGAGCCTCAAAGTTTCTCGTCAAAATGAACTTGTAATATTTCCTATTTGTCAGAGGACACATTATGGTAATAAATCAGAATCATATTATAGTTCATACTTATTCAAGTGACATTTATGTTGGCATTTAGGGAGGAAAAGTGTCGATCCCAGAGTGACTTTTACAAAGTCAGATATATTAGTCATTTTTAAATTACCCAGTTTTATCAAATGTGGCCGACAGCAGTAATTAATCAATAGCAGGTCTTACTTTTGCATGGGGCTAAGCTCCACTCGGACAATCAGCTCTGTCTTTGCCGGCATGTTCTTAAAGACATCAGCCTTCAGCCTTCGCAGCATGTGAGGCCCGAGCAGGTCATGGAGCTTCTTGATCTGGTCTTCTTTTGAAATGTCGGCAAACTCCTCTAGGAAACCCTCCAGGTTACTGCACAAACAACAGTTGTACCCTCAAACCTCAAAATCATATACACAATGCACAAATAAATGATAAATTATGGATAATGTGAGTCACAAGTCAATGACAGGGTTGCCTGAAGCATGCAAAGGGCTCACTGGATAAAGGCTAATGCCAGAACATACATGAGTATAGAGATAATGTAATATAATAATAATAATAATAATAATAATAATAATAATAATAATAATAATAATAATAATAATAATAATAATAATAATAATAATAATAATAATAATAATAATAATAATAATAATAATAATAATAATAATAATATAAATTATTCTACATAGTTATTTTCATTAAATGTACACTCACTTGAAGCGCTCTGGAGTGAGGAAATTTAGTAAGTGGAAAAGTTCCTCCAGGTTGTTCTGTAGAGGCGTCCCAGTGAGCAGCAACTTATAGTAGATCTTATACCCATTCAGAATCCTGAAAAACTGAACAGGAAATTTGGAAGGGGTCAGATGTTATAAACATGTATGTTATGTTATATCCTGAAAATGAGGAAATACATTTAATTTATATTCTACCTTTGACTGGTTGTTCTTGAGTCTATGGGCTTCATCTACCACCAAACAAGCCCAACTGACTGAGCCAAGGATCGCCTGATCTATGGTGATTAACTCATAGGATGTGAGCAATACATGGAATTTAATGGGGGTATCTTTCTGCAAAGTGAAGACAAAGATAATCTATTATTTAGCATATTCATAGTTAGCGTGCCAACAGTATTATTTATGCAGTGCTATAATAGAGCTTGACAAAACAGCTTACCTTCATTCGAAACACTTTGCGTCCTTGTTTTATAGCATTATCTTCAAACGTAAACTCATTCTCCCTGATGATGGCTCTGCTGTCCTTGTCTCCAGTGTAAGTCACCACATAGAAATCTGGAGCCCACATCTCAAACTCTCTCTCCCAATTAATGATAGTGGAGAGAGGGGCACTTACAAGGAAAGGCCCCTTTGAGTGACCCTAAAAAACATAATCACAATACATTTTATAACAGGTATAGTTAAACTATCATGAGACAAAAAGCTACATATGTTAGTCATCCATCAAAATTACAGCATGTTTTGTATATTTTGCATTGTGGTTTTAGCTAAATAATAATGTAACAATTTCTACACATGAAAGAAAGGAACACTGACCTCTTTATAAAGAGAGTATAGAAAGACAATTGTCTGGACAGTTTTGCCTAGACCCATCTCATCTGCTAAGATGGTATCAGTGCCCTGAGCCCATGAGAATCTCAGCCAGTTCAGTCCCTCCAGCTGATACGGATGCAGAGTTCCTCCTGTAGCATTGATATACCACGGCTGGTGTTCAAACTTTATGGTTGGCTGAAAAATATTGACGAGTGTAATATTAGCTACAAAGACAAGCTGAATATTCTGTGTAAATATAACCAAAGTGCTTTTAAAAAGCTACATCTATAATTGGTGTATCAGGAGGCTTCTCTCTCTTGGAACGCTCCACATTGGGTTTCTTCTCTTTCCTCACCACCAGAGGGCGTTGGTCTTCTCCTAATATTTGTTCCCTAGTAGATAAAAATCAAAATTTCACATAATGACAATGTTTCAAATAGTTAAGAAATGGTATTCATTTTCAAAAAAAGAAGAGAAACCTGTGGTCCCAGTAAAGAGTTTTATGGCTGTCATATTCAGGGATTTCAAAGTCATCTGTCTCCCATGTGCACTGGTCATAGGGGAGATCTCTCCACTTTATAAGATAATGCACATCTCCATCCTTATCAAAACTACAATAGAAACATAACACACAACACAACAAAATTACATCTGATATGTGAATACTCTCACAGGTGTTGATTTGAATTCAGTAGTTAAGATGTGGATAGAGTTGTTAAGCGTTTTTCAAGTATAAGAACATCAGGTAAAGACCATTTCAAAATAACTTTGGTCAGATGATCTCTCTCTTCTCATTTGAATATTAATGTTCTTAGATAAGCAAAAAAATTAGTTGAGATGCACCTGTGGTTGAGTATGCGGTGAATGACCATCCACTCAGGCTTGATGCCGTAGCGATAAAACCGTTCCTCCATCACAGCATACTCAGGGTCCTTGCTCTTCCTCTTCTCACTGTTCAGCTCCTCCTCCCCAGAGCCATAGTCGTACGGAGGGGGCTCGTCCATGTCATTCTTTCTCTGGTAGTTTCTGTACATGACCGTATGGTACAACTCCAACTGCAAAGACCAGTGTGTCAAAATTCATAGCTATAGTTAACTGATTTCAAGGCCGTGAAGCTCACCTGCAGCTCGCTGACCCAGGAGCAGTGCCAGTAGGAGAGGGCAGCCCACTTCACAAAGAACTCCCTCTCTGGGTGACCCTTCAGTGGGGGCTTGATCAGAGGATCGATGGGCTTCCCATCGGCTCCAGGGGGCTGCTCAGCTGGCAGAGGAGGGTCTCCCCACGTCCAGTGCAAAATCTTCTGCACCTTTCCCTTCAGAGGCGGGCACTAAACATCCATGTAAGTGTAAGATACAAACATTTCAAACTCAATTTAGATAACAAGTAAATAACTAAACACAGATTTCCATAGGCCTACAACAATGATAATAACTATTTTTAGACAATACAATGTTTTGCACAAAATAATATTTGATACTTTAATATTATCATGCAGTCTTAACACTAGTTCTGAAACTGTTCAAGAACAGTCCAATTTTGTCCTATAGGCCTATATGTGACTTTTTTTTAAATCAATACTAGTAGTACATTCAAATGTGCATCTACTCTTAATACTAGTTTTAGCATAAATTAACATGATTTTTGACCACCCTATTCTAAACTTACTCAAGTCAATCAGAAGTTTTGGGCGACGAGCAACTGTGATACTTTTATGTTAGTAAGAGTAAAGTTTCTCTCCTCTATGTTGGGCATTTGGTACACTATCGTTTTAGGTCATTTCTATGCGTAAAATAAGAGCGATTCAATGTAATAAGACTAAAATGTTGAGGTTACCATGCATCGCGGGCACAACCACTCCCCATTAGGTATCTCTGGTAGAGGTGGGTTGAGGCAGTGGATGTGGTAGGACGAAGGGCAGGTGTCACAACAAAGCAGCTCTCCTCCATCTTTACACACTCTGCAGAACTCCATGTGATCATCTTCTTCCTCCCCTGCAGGCTCCTCTTCATCCTCATCATCATCTTTGGCCTCCCACTGGATCCCCTCTTTCTCCTAGAACACATGTACTGATTAGGGCAACTACAGCTTTACAGTTGATACATATTAGTGGCCTTTTTTGGACAGCAAGTTGAGAATTCTGCTATAGTATTGTGTATAGTGAAAATCAATGAAAAAGTGATCAATTAAGCTAATTATGATGGACAGCTAGCTAGATCAGAGCATTTGTGTTAGAGTTATAAGAAATGAGCACATGTGAAATGCATATATGCGAAGCAAATGGTCTGTATAGTTCATTTCAACAAGCACGTCACTATAGCTCAAACAGGTTTTTTGTATGTCATAATGCTATTCCAGATCTGAGGACTGTTCACTGCTATAATTATGTGTACATCAAAAATAAATGTCTGAAGAATGTCAACTGTTAGCTTTCAAAGACTCAGTACTATGTGTCATGGATTATTATGATAACAGTACTTACACAGTGGGGACAGCTCCATTTGCCCTCAGGGGCCTTCTCCAGCTCGGGATCCAGACAGACAAGGTGGTATGCTCTGGGGCAGGTGTCACACAGGATAATCTCACCACCCTGCTGGCACACTTCACAGTAGTCCTGATGGTCTGTCTCATAGCCATCCCCGTCCTCTTCTAGGAAATGTAAAGACATGTGTATTTTTCTGCAGGAAATTGGATACAAAAATAGCAGGCTGTGATTAGTGTAAACATACTTTTCCTTTTTTTCCTCCCACGCCGAGACTTTTTCTTGGTAGCTGTGGCCCCCGTTATATCAGAGAGCAATGAGGTACTGTGGATGCTGATGTCATCAAAGTCAGACTCCTCTAAGAAGTCCTCCTCACTCTGCAAAAACATCAGTGAGAAAGGACATGAGAGCCTGATATGAATAGACTCATGAAGGCAGCTGACACTGTAGAACATGGGACGGACTGGCATGAAGAGTCTTATTTAGAAGAGAGGATATACCGAGGATGCTTTCTTCTTCTTCCCGCTTTGGCCTGACTTTGATTTGGTCTTTTTTGCCTTGGATTTCTTTTTCACGTCCTTTGCTGCTTTGCTTTTCTTTCTGGCTCCAGGTCCTGAGAAATCCAGGCCACACAGGGATACATGTATTACTAGTGTTTGAACACACAAGGCTGGTCTTATAGCCACTTTGAAACATTCACCTTTGTACTAAAACATTTTCCCCCCAGCTTTGTACTGCATAAAGCAGAAACTATTACTGTACAGGAGTCACAGTGAAGTCGACCTTACCCTTCCCCTCTTTGGTTTTGGCTTTTTTGAGTGGTCCCGGCTGAGCGCTGGGCTGGCTGCAGCTCACTGATATTGGCTGAGCCACAGTGACTGTCTCCACAGCAGCAGCCACAGCGGCCGCCACAGCAGTGGCAGATGCACCTTTGAACGGGTTGTTGGCACTGAACTCCCGCCACTTGGCCCCTAACACTGTCATCATCTTTGACATGGGAATCTTGGGGTTCTTCTTGGCAATGAGCGGCCTGTGGGAAGCCAGAGGGAGAGAGGTTAACAACGGCAGCTTTATTATGTCACACTTCATTCTCCTTGATGTAGCTCAGCCTCACTCAGCACCAAAGGGATCTGTGTGTGATTTGTTGTCAGCCCTGTGCCCCTTAAGTTTTCCTGTGCCTGTGAGCGGCTTGTGATTTGTCATACAACAGCTTGAGATGTGGCTCTGTGGCCTGTGAAAGATAGTAGGTCAGAGAGAGTCCCAGTGCCTCCCAGCTGTCACAGGCCTCCAGTCTGCAGCTGACTCCACACGGCTCTGCGGGAGCTAACAGAGCCAGACAGCCCCAGGTGAGACACTCTCTTTATACAAGCACTCAAACACAAAGTGCTGTGTTTGCTGCTCACACCACTCTCTGTCTCGCTGTTTCTGTTGGAGGCTGCTCACTGACAAGCCACGGCACAAAGCCGTTTAACATGACATAATAATCCCAACTCAGTCAGACACTTGCCTGAGGAACTGGCTGAATGCCTTGTAGTTAGTTATGGTTTTGTAATCGTCTTCAGTGAAGCCATACTGGACGTCTTCAAGACCCCATTCCTGCATCAGCTGACTGGAGGATTTGGGCTCCTAGGAATATGAAAACAAATGTAGTATTTAACTAAACAGCACTACCAATTAAATATCTATTAAAATACAATATCAATCCAAAGTCATAAAACAAACACAAAGCTTCAGAACCACCAGACTATGATTTCCCCCAAAATAGAACATCACTGACCACCTCATCTACTTTACCTGAAGGCTGAGATGATTATTTGACTAACTGTGATTGGTTGACTATAAAACCAAAGTAAATTTTGATAATCATAAGCATTATCTAGACTATAGAGACTCAAAATACAAAAAATGTATGACAACAGTGGCTAGTTGCAGCCCAAATGACCAAGTCTACACACACCTTCGCTGTCCCATCATCATCGTCATCATCATCCTCTTCATCATCTCTCTTCTTCTTTCGGGGCTTCTTCTCCTTCTTCTCCCTGGGTTTTTTCTTCTTCTTTTTGCCCTCATACATACTGTTCTCACTTTCATAGCCCACTTCAGGACGTCCTCTCTCCTCTTCCACCTCAGAAGGCTCCTCTAAGTCACTATCCACTCTTGGTAGTAAGCCTGTCTGCAAGAGAGCATACAGCAACATTTGTATGATGACATTTGAAATCAGAATCTTGTATGAAAAATGCTAATAGTTCTGTAACATTTTTATAATTATGCTAATAGACAATAAAGCTAGTTTAAGATCAGGAGAAGAAACCCAGGGTATTGCATTAAGGGCACCCATTCCTCCAGACAGGTTGCCCCAGAAGCAGTGAAAGATGAGTAAATCATAGACGACAAATTATCCTAATTGGGACAATCAACCCTGAATCAAAACCAGGACTATGTTTGTGACTCAACCACCGTGCCACCATTTGATGATTAAGTTTTGAGTGATTTATTTGTAGAGAATGTGAACCTAAAGGTTAAGTAAAAGGTTATTGTTCACAGCTGTATAAGTTTGTTCAGCTATCATGGGAACAGTGCAGATGCACTAATAACCGCAGCAGCATGTTTGATGATCTCATGGGCTGAACTCAATGTTAGGCAGTCCATGTACCTGTCTTCATGAATTATATATTTATATTTATTATATATTTATATTTATTAGCTAAGTTGGTTTGAAACCAAATCAATAATTAAAATAATTAATTTTAATTTACAAGCAATGACAACCACCATATAGCCTGCATTGTAAACAAATTATTTGTACCAAAGTTTTGAACTATGTTGTTTAAGTCAGTTACATATACATAATAATATATACATATATATTTGCAGGGGTTGTTTATATGACTAAATTTACTCGCTCAAGATTTATTAAAGCAAAGGAAGAATAAATTGCTGTGGTCATTCCAACATGAATAGATTAATATGCTGATACTGAAGATTCAATTGTGCTATACACAACTGTAATTTAAATGTTAAATCTGATGTCTGTAAGTCGTTCTGTGCTTACATGTGAATACCAGCATGTATATCTTCTGGCATTATACATCTGTGCTGTCTGCCCCTAACTGCCTGTGTACAGTATGTAATTACAGATTGAATAAGTACTTGAAGCCTGTTGCTTGTATGTGTGGATCCGGGAGGGAGTGCAGCGCTGGTGAAAGGCTCACGTTGCTGCAGCACAAGCCAACCTCAGCAGCAGCCAGCCTGTGTTACCATGGAGACCGAATTTGAGCAGTGTCTGGCTCTTTCTCTCTTCCTCTCTCTGTCTCTCTCTATTCCTACTTTTCTTTCTTGTTCCTCACCCTCCTCCTCCCACCCCTTTGCACAACTTCCTTTTCTATCACTTTTTTAATCTCTCACTCTTATGTTATTCTCTCTCACTCTATTAACAGGGTCGCCTTTCTCTCTAGCTCTCATTTCCTCTATCAACCATCTTTTTTTTTTTTTTTTTTTTAATCTGCACAGTGTATAGCAGCAGCAGTGGCAGCCAATGGAACAGCGCCATCCAATCAGAGACGTTTACATAACGAGCTGGTTATGCAGAAAAGGGCTATGGTTGCCCAAGCAGCACACCCGTCTAGACAAATCTCATTTATGCATAAGGATGGCAACAGAGAGAGATGGAGAGAAGGAGAGAGAGAGTGAATGACTGAGTGAGTGAGTGAGAGATAGTCAGTGAGAGAGAGAGAGAGAGAGAGAGAGAGAGAGACTGAAAAAAAAAAAAAAAAAAAAGAATTGAAGATTGTGATGGGGGATGGGTATTGGGAATCGAGATGGTGGAGAGCAATAAGCATGAAAGCATACTCACTATTGACATAAAGACAACTAGGCAAACAGTGCATGGCCCAGGTCCAATAGAACACAACACAGAACACAAAACAAGAAACAACAAAGACTGTCTGTCTACTTTCAAGAGCAGGAAAATGAGATAAGTGCTGATAATGTAATCAAATTAGATGCTTTCCCATAATGGTGCTGCCTTGGGGAAATTACGGAGCCACTGAAAATATCAAATGAGCTTTGAATGTGCAAACTGTCCCAAAACAACAACCCTGGCAGAGAGCATCTATCTCTTTGTCGACACACACATGGACCACATATAAAACTGGAATTTGATTTTTTTTTTTTAAGTGGATCAAACAGACAAAGGCACAAAATCATGAAAAGTATCATGAGAAGCAGTGGATGTTGTGGTGTAGATGAGCATCAGCAGATAAATAATAAATGACTGATGTAATGCCAGGAGGACTTGATGCAATATGTTACATTGTGTTTGTGTTATAAAAACCTTTAGAGCATCATTTCATAAAGACATGTCAACAATAGCATAAGCCAAACAAAGTTCCTTTCACAAATAATCACAGTGTTAGGTTAGTACTGTAGATACACTTCATTTTGTCTCATTTTCTTTTGATTTCCTATTTATCAAAAGATCTTCCTACATTAAAACATTGTTATTTTTGCCATAAAGGTAGACATTATGTGTTTTGTCACTATGAAGACACATTGCCTGGAATCTTCCACAGTATGGCATTAAACTTATAGGGATGCTTTATTCTTAGAAAAACAAGCATACTGTATGTGAGTGTGCGCTACTCTCCACAAATCTGGGCTTCATTTATAAAACTTTGTGTGAAATTTGTACTAAAAGTGCATGTACAGACAACAACTTCTCATCTGTCTAATCACCGACTGCCTTCTGCCTCGTCAGTGAGCACCTTGACACCTAAAAAAACAAACTTGTTTGTTTTCGGAACATTTTGAAGCATACTATACAATATTTACTTCATTATGTGATTACATTCTTATAGTAATTGTGGTATCATATGTTTTAAGTAAGAAATGTCCTTTAATGTTGCTATGTAGCCATACCAGTGTGACAAAGCCTGACACCGTCAGCTCTCAGAAGCTATGCAAGGCCGGGCCTGGTTAGTACTTGAATGGGAGAGCACTGGGAAAATCAGGTGCCACAGTGGGGTGTCTGTCACAAAAACTGTTATTGTGTCCTTAGGCAAGACACTTTAGCCACATTGCCTAATATGAAAGTGGTGTGTGTGTAAGTGATGGTGGTGGTCAGAGGGACCGATGGTGCTGAATGGCATGGCAGCCGAGCTTCAGTCAGTCTGCCCCAGGGCAGCTACAATAGGAGCTTACCATCACCAGGTATGGAGTGAGTGAATAAATGCTCTGTAAAGGGTCTTTGTGACATATGTCTGTGAAATGCACTATATAAATAAATAAACTTTCTTACTAAGAAAATAATTATTGTGTAGTGTATGTCCAAGCAGTACCTCCAGATATAACATATATTTAGGAACAACTTCACACTATCCTTCTGTCTGTTCCCAGACTTGAACACATTGAACACAAACGCACAAGTGTCCAACTCAGACCCCAATTGACCTCTGCCTGGGGCTTGACAAACACCACTGGGGAGTTTATTGTTGACAGAGAGACTGGAAAACCCTCTAATAACAGTGGAACGCCGAGCCAAAACAAAAGAGGCAGGAGTGGGCAGAATGAGCAGTCTTGTGTGTCGCGGTCAGGGATAAGTCAGGTGAGGCGTGTGAGGGCAGAGAGGAGCGAGCAGCTTGTGGAGTGAGTGAGAGAGCAGAGCGTGTCAGAGGGAGTCCCCCGTCATTAGCCCCGCAGTGAGACCCACAGCTCAGTGTTTACCACCAGCAGCTAAAGGGCCAGCCAAGCTCCCCTCTCCAGCCAACAGAGGGGAACATCTTGGCTGTGTCCGAGCCCTTAACGCGGGCAGCAGAAATACTCAGGGGACAGTTCAGCACAAGCAAGCACATAGTGTGGATAAACGGAAAAGGCCTACCACTTTCTATCTAACAATTGAATTATAATTGGGACACAAGGAATTAGGATCCAAACTGGAAAAATGGTGAGGAGCACATTAGGAAACAAATAATTTCTTAATATCAAAAAATTAATTATATGATTTTTTTTTTTTTTTTGGCACAAAAAACAGCTCCAACTAACCTTAAAATCAAAATTGATTGAACTTAAATAGCTTGTGTGTCATCCACCAGAAAAATTAATAAATCTCTTGGTATTATAAGAAAAGTCTGTAAATATGTGGACTATACTTACAAAATCTATACTTACAGTAATCTATACTATATATCTGTACTATATGTTTAATTTACCCCTATCTGTCATATTGTACTCTGAACAAAATAATACTGGTGCTAAAACGTTCAACTTGCAACTCATTCGATGCATCTAACATTGTATTCTAATTTATTCATCAGACATTCTTCATATTAAAATATATTAAAAGCTATCAAATTTGTATTTTTATGTATACAATTCTTTATAATACAACTATAATGCCTGCACATTTCACAGTTTACTGTAAAACCAATGCAGAGATTCATAGATATACGGTAATACTCGTCAAAATCTAAATTTTCATGTTCCAAAATGTGTCACATCAAGAGCTCAGTTTTGCCTTCGATACAGAGGCTACAAAGTGTGAAGCCAGTTTTCACATCTGGCTGGTGATGGCATATCTGAAACGTCATTTAAAAACAGTTTAAGGAAATGTTTGCTATTTCATGATAATGTTTGATAATCATTCAATTGTGTGACATTTCAAATGTATTTAATCTAAGGTGTGTAAATGTAATTTTAAAAGTAATGCACAGCTATAATGTTTTAATGCATTTATAAGGTGGAGGCTTTAATATGAGCCCTTTTGGGTTTTTTGCCTCTTCCTGCACCTACTTTTATTTATCTAGTGTGCCTTTTTGGTTGTTATATATGTGTAAAATAAATAAATAAAGAAGCATAGCGTTGTAACAATACTAAAATTTCAAACTCAGTTTTGAGAAATATATCTGTTACTCCGTACCGATTCCAATACCATGAGGATTCCATGATTGCCATGGTCGTGGTTGGCTGATCTCGTGGCCGACTGTCTGGCACACTGAGCAGTACTTAAACTTTTTAACTTTTTTTTTTTACTTACATTTTGAATCTAACATTTGGAAATTTTGACCAACTAAATAGTGCAACATGCATAGTTCAAAGGAAGTAAGTTAAGTCCTATTTGATTGCGTGGTTTAAGCACTTTGTTTTTCCTGTATCCATGGCGACTCTACATGGAACTAGCTCTGAAATGCAACAGAATCTTTACAACAGTGCAACAGACTTTCTACACCAAATATGACATAAGATGTTCCAGAGAGAATGGCCTGTCTCATCGCTACTCAAAACAACAGCCCTTGAAAGAGTGAGGCAAAGGAGAGGCTTGCCAGTTGTGTCCAAAATTCATCTGTGTCCCCCTGGACACTGCTGTGATGCCTGGGTTGCAGGACACAGAGGAGGGACACTTTTGTCCTGATGGCTGTTACCCTCCTAAAAATTTCACTGATACAGAATGTGATGGCCTCTACCTGTTGAGCTGCACTGGGACTTAAGTTTGAGTGTTCTATTATTATTGTATGTTAATGCTCAGTGTGCTTAAATTATAGCCTGATTCATCAGCCGGTTTCATTTCATTCATTTTGTAGAAACAATCTGACCTCGCAGCATTGGAATTTGTTCGCTTGACAGTAGGCGGGTACTTTTGTCATTTAACCAGTCGCTGCTATTTGGTAGTCACGTATGTAATGTGCCACTAACGGAGCTAACTGGTATATTAGGGCAATAATGTCTTTCCCCTTGATGAAATTCACTAAACATTCTCTTTGTTCAGGGTTTAAATCCTCAATCTCAGGAATCGTTGACTACACTGACTACTCTTCGCTGATTGGCTGGTGCCTGAACTTGAACTTCCAGGGTTTTGGCGAACCATCTAGTGTATTTTGATTCCTGACCTAGTTGCTGGAGAGAAATGAAATTGAGCGGAAGCACTAGGTGGCACCAGCCTGGCTACTTAAATTATCCCTCAGGGACAAATAAAGTGATACTGATTGACGGTAACAAAAAACACTCTTTTCAACACTTGCTGAAATGAGTATCGACTTTCAATAACAAGCCTATATAGCATTAAAAAATGATTTAATATGCAAATATATAGATTGAAGGCACAGACCTTTACAAATTTTTTGGGAAAAGTGAATCATTTTTGATTTTGATGGCACACATGATTATATTATATTGTATGATTGATTGTACAAGACTGATTGTCGTCTGTGGAGCGATTGATAGGCAGCCAAAGTAAGCAGTATATTACAACCAATCAGCAATCTAACCTGACTGTCTAGAAAAGTGATAGGTGACTGACACATAATTTCTATTAACATACACATACAATGCACAGTCACACAAAATGTTTACTTTTATTACCTACAGGAGACAAAGCATTTCACTCATAGGTCTTTTATTGAGCTCCTTAAGATCTACTTAATGCAGTGCTACTGCTGTTGGCAACTCTAACATCAAACTTGTTATCTAAATGTCAGAGACTGAAAGCCTGTGAATATTCAAATGTGTCTTTCTGCTCAGACCTCACACTTACAGCCTGGCACAGACCTGTAACTGACCTGCCACCTTCACCATCAGCTCCATGGGCACAAACTCGCACTCTAAATTGGCCCTCGTGTTCATAGTTACACTGCCAGTGACCAGGACACTGCCAGCCTGCTTTACCCTGAGATGGACCACAGGCTGTCAGTGATCTTTGATTTCTAAATCTCTGGAAATAGTTTGGCTTTCAGTGTATTATCTTTGATAGACTGCAATGAGCTATAAAGGTGCACTATGTAACTTCTTTGATGAAATGTCTGCCACCCAAGTAGGTGGTGTACCCTACAGAAGAAAGGTTTCATTAAATACAACCAGTATTAAATGAGTACCTGACCACAACCAAATGTATCACAACATTGTGCTTTAAAAGAAAATAACTGGCCCTAAATAAAAATAAATTGTGATTTGAACTGCAAGTGTAGCACCACAAGATTACAACCAAAATCCGTTTTTCCTCCCTCTGCACAATTAACAAAATGGCAAAACAAAGACTGTGGCTCACAGCGCATGTGAGAGCCAAGCTGTTGTGAGTGGGTCAGTGTGTGAAGTACCAGCTTACCTCCTTCTTTCTCTTTTTAACCTTAGGCGTTTTGCCCTCTTTCATCTTTTTGGGCTTCTTGGGCTTCTGTTGTCTGAGAGACTCATCATCAGAGAAGAAGCTGGTGAGGGGAGTGAGAGGGACAATGTTGCGTCGTGCCTCGTCATCTTCATCTGGACAAAAAGCATGATAAAAAGCAATTTATTTCTGCCTATCAAAACTTACAAGGCAAATCCAATTTAGATTTGATATACACTAACAAACTGTTGAAACAATTGTTCTTCCATACTTCAGTTTAGGCCTGACAGTTACTTGTCATTTATTACCAGATTTCACAGACCATTTCAGATATTGTGCGGGCAGCAGGTCTGTGGTTCCTTATTATTACATGGCAAACACAAAACTAAATTATGACCACGATGTTGGAAAATGTGATAAGGGCCATTCTAATAAAATGCTCTCTCATCAGATCCATAGAGGTACCGGAGTATCATTATCACCTTCACTAATCTAACAGAAGTAGAAGCGTAGAATGCCTTGCTGCAAATGGGATCTCTCAGTGCTCAGGTTTACTGAAGGTATCTGTTGCCTTTAATGCGTGCTGGGACCAAAAGGACGTGCTGCCGCTCGTCTCAGCACCGTCTCACTGTGTGCAAGCGTGTGACTGCTGAAAGCACTTCAGAGGGTCACAGAGGAGTCAGGCAAGGTAACAGAGATACACAGAAGGATCACCAGAAAGAGGAAATGTAGACAGGAATAAAGTTGTTTGTGTACATTATTTTGATCAGGGCTTTATAGGCAGACCGGTGCTTAAATGTGCAGCACGTACATCAGAGTCAATCAGCTCTTTAGCCTGCAGTGTGCCACTCCCCTGGGCCGTCAGAGTGAGAGGGATTCCTCAGTGGTAGACACAAACTCACCAGCCACTTATCCTCTATTTAGCACAGCTAGCAGGAGGTATCCCCCACAAACACACAGGACTGTACACAGGGAAATCCAGCAGCTTTCTAGTACAATTTCTCTGTACTCAACTGTCACTGATGAGAAAAATGTTATTAGGCATGGGATGAGACATGATTTCCACGAGACAAGACACAAGACTGGGTCCACGAGAAAGAGACAAGTTGAGATATTGACATAATTTGACATAATTTATCATTAAAAATCTTTTATTTACTATTTATTAAATATTTTTGCTGTCAATGTAGCAATGTAGCTTTTTGCAACTACAGCATGTGAAGAAATATAACTTGCCAGAACTTAACCCTATTTTTGTTCAAAATGTAAAAACACATGGAAAAAATCTCATAAGATATTTTTCCTCACGTGTCCACAATCTGGTGGCAATTTTGTTCCCTGAGATCGTTTGGCACCAGATCTTGTGCCATCCATAATGGTTATGTTTGAGCATTTTGTCTGGCATCTTAAATAAACACTTTAATGGGGGCTGAATTTGTCTTTGATAGAGTACATGGTGAACTGCAAGATTAATCACAATCAATAAAAAACACTATTGAATTGTTACAGTTGGCAAAGCTCAAACAAGCATCTTCTGAAAGGTATGGGAGCCATGCATGAGTTTAACAATTCAGACAGGTTTAGAATTGTGAATCTTAATGTGCAGTTACTACTGTGTGTGAACAGGTTAATCATAAATCTGTTAGTAAATCAACCTTGGAATAAAGCGCTGAGGAATTGACATACTGATTGAAATCAAACAACAAAGTAATGTTACCTTATGTCTATAATACAGCAGGACAACAAACTCATGATAATGCCAGTGATAAAGTTTTAAAACTGTACATATACAATTGGATAAGCTACAATATTATTAATGGGAAACATTAGGATCTCTATTATAATTATTCAAAGCATGTTTAATAAATTTGTTTTTGAAGTGAATTTACCAAGAAATGCAAATTCACATGTATAGTGCGAAATTGTATTAATCCTTCTTTGATTATGAGCAACAAAAAATGCTTGATTGTAGCACTGGTCAAAATGAAACAAGTTCATAGGCCTTAACACATTTAAATGAAAACATTGCAGGCTCTAAGTAGAAAACCCATTTAATGTTACAAAGGATAGCATCACAGTAAAGCAGATTGCAGCATGATTTTTTTTTTTTTTTTTATTGATAAAGTATGTAGTTCAAGACCTAAGTGGCATTATAGAAATCTATTGTCATTCATTTGGAAATTTGATCTTCAAGATAGCACATCCACATATGTATCTATTACAAAGGGTAGAGGGTATGATTGAAAGAGGGTGTGAAACCACTGCAATCCCCATCTGCAAACTACACCATTGCAGCTTTAATGCATTGCCAATGTGCACACATAAAAAATGGTGTCAACTTTCACAGAGAGGAATCCAAAAATAGACCTCTACCCAATTGGGGACAACACTGAAGTAACAAAAAGCCCAAGACGATCTTTTAATTTTGAGATAGAACCAAACAATTAAAATAGAGTTTGTGGCAGTTGGGTGAAACAAAAGGAATTGGGACACTTAATGTGTCAAAGCCAATCAAGGCTTCCTGATGAGTCCATTGGGGGATATTTCATCATGATGTGTTTTAAGATTCAGAGGAATGTGTGACCTTATCTGCCAGTCTGATGCATTTAGCAGAGGTCATAGAGTGGACTCACAATGACAACAGCTTAATTACGTTCATTAAGCAGCTGATATGTTGTTATAGGAAGTGACACCATATGACGCATTTACAAAACTAATTCTTAAACCTTTTTCTATTCTATTAGTTTATATATAAAGTATTAAAGGTTATTCATAATGTTGGGAAATGCAAGTATAAAATGGAAGATACAGCTACTGTGTGCAATAGGCCTATTAGTATTCACGGCACATATATGATCAGATCTGCCCTTGTTACTGTCAGGGGTATTGTTTTCTCTGTTTTTCTAAGAAAATACAGTTTAAATTTTTTATTTTTTTTTTCAGAGTTCAACTATGATTGAATTGTGAAGTCAAGTCTGTGTAAAAACTTTTCACAAATAAAGACAATTGTGTATTTCGCCACATTTTTATTCTTACTGGGTAATTATTAATTATTTATTCCCACTCGGGTGATATCCATATTCAACTTCGCCCCCCCTCCAAATCTTTCCAGCCACATTGGTTCATTCCAATGTATGTGCTCAACCATTTCCATTAGGTGAATTATTAATTTATCAAAAGGCTATTAGGATAGATTGGCGAGGGGTTTCCTTCAACCTAAATGAAGAGTTGTCATGGCTAGGAAATATACTAATATTATAGCATATTTGATGACTTCCTATAGATCCCTGATTAGAAATATTGATTAGTTGGTCTCCTAATGGCTAAGGTTAATTTAACCCAAAGCATAACCACTGAGAAAGTAGGCTACTTTGAGGGAGGCAAAATACTGGGCCAAACTAAAGCCAGGCAGTTTACACTGAGGATCAATGCTGATTATAAAGAGTAGCCTAACACGTGGCTTCCACACCTCTGCGGCCAAGTTGATCGCAACACCATCACAACGTGACCAAAGATGCTGTAACTGTGCCGGGAAATCAAGAGGAGGATAAGAATGGCGACACGCACTGTATCACCACAAAGACATGGTGTGCATATGTTCGGAAATACCCCGCTGTCTATAACAAACTCAAATTTTTATACTTAAATAATAACAATGAAGCCACAATTAAGCTTTTTGTGCATACAAAACTAAGCCATGCAGCAAGGGTTTTTTCGTTGCCCCAAAACTGGCAGAAGCAGCGACAGTCCCTCACCAAACTAAAGCTGCACAAACCAGTACAGAAGGTTAGCAAAAACACCTTATTATAGTATGACTGTGCTTTTTGTACCCCCACCCTCCTCCTTCTCCCCCCGTCTGTGGTCTCCAGAACGCAGGACAAGCCCTTTTCCCTGCATTCAAGGCGTAGCGGCGCAAAATAATGTGAAGGACACCCCGCCTCCCCCCTCGCTTCCCTCACCTGGCATATCGTCTTCAAAATCCATGTCGTCCGGTCCCTCGTCTTCATTACTCAGCGACCCCGGCATCTTTATCTCATAGCCCCCCAAAACCCTTTTAGGCTGAGAAAAGTTAACCCTCCAGACGCCGCAGCTCTGCGTCTTTCTTCATCCAAAAATAAAATGCGTTGCGCTTTTTATTTCTGGGAATTTCTTGAAAACAAATATATTATTTCTTTTTTTTTTATCTGATCTCTATCCAGGTCCTCCAGTCTGAAAAATAAGAAAGACAAAAATGGAACACACATGCCCAGATTGTGACGTCTGGTCTGTTGCCATGACGATACATCCCATAATTTCAACCACAACTAGTTAGTCGCGCGTTCTACTAGTTATCACTTTGACTAGTTGTGTTGCAGGATGGAGTAAACGCGCGGGGACAGGCTAGGTGCCGCAGACAGGGGTAGGAGTCCTGCGCCTGTCGCCAGTACTTTTGCTATTCAAACACAGGAGAGCACGGACAAAAACTTTGCTTTGCCACAACTAAAACGCACAAAAAAAACTATAAAATTATTAGTGGAGCCGTGTCTATATGTATAGGTATCAGGCTAAATAAAATATTGAAAATGCGATTTATAATGTTTAATAAATGAAGGTATTTGCTATGGGCAAGTGGATGCTGCATGGAGAGAATTTTAACAGTGGTGTGACTGTTGTCTAGGTTACCACGTCTGTATCAAAGGGCATTTAGCAAAAGTATTAGGCCTGCTTCAACCAAATACCCTAGCTACTTTATTTCAAAACATCCATATGATTGGCTTTTATTTACACAGAGGAACCAAGTATGGAAACTCCATAGTTAAGACAACTAGTAGCAAGTGGCAGAGCATCACATATTAACATTCTTTACTTACCCACCTTGATAGATACTAAAGATGCCTGCTCATCTAATAGGCTACACTGTAAATATATGTCTGTAGATATACTTTTAACTCTAAAAATGTGGCTACCAGTTGAATTTATGATACGGGCAGCTGTATAATGTTCAGCCCAAATTAAGAACACAAAAAACTGCATTATCTTTTTTCCAGATATATTTTTATTAAAAGTGGTGGTGCCAGGTTTAATCCTCATCCTCCTCCTCTTCGTCTTGGTTGATCTGGAAGTAGCGCAGCTCGTAGCTCTCCTTGGTATTGGCCACAACACGCAACCAGTCTCTGAGATTGTTCTTTTTCAGGTACTTTTTAGTCAGGTATTTCAAGTACCTAAAAAAAAAATCCATAAATTGTTGCAGGACTTTCCTAGTAACAGACAATACAATGGCTACTGTTCCGGTCACTGCAAATACTCCAATCAAGTGTCACCCTCTGCTGGTAGTTCTGAACATACACCTGTATTGTGACCATCACTTGACTCTTCACTCCACTTTTGAGGCTAGACCTTTTCTAAAGTTTGTTTTAAGATTGATGAAGGTGCAAGGAATGTCAAAGCAGTGACAGGTCCAGACCAAACTGACTGAGGGTGCATATGAGTTTCAAAGGGGTGCTAAGACATTACTCCTCCATTAAGTGTCATTATTTAACCAGCCTAAAATGAGGGTGCAAATATATTAAAATAAGGTTGCAAAGCATCCTTTTGCACCCCTGTAGACCATTTTGTCAAAGAAAAAATGGCAAGTTGTGGTTGAAGATTTAGCTTGTATACAGAGCAATTTTTCACTGGAATATACTGACCCCCCCAAAAATGTAAACCATCTTAAAATGTAATAATGCTAAATTGCTATTGCGTTTTCCTAATTGAACTTGAATCTGCTATGCCATGTATTGACTGTCAAATGTGCTTTATACAGAGTGTCAATGATTGGAGTGTATGTAAGGCTATTACTTTGAGAATGGACCCCAGAAAGAGTAGCCTTTACACATGCAGAGACTAATGGGGATCCTTAAAAAATATATTTTCCCCTCTCAAATAATTATTGCAGTCATCAGAAAATTGACGAACTTGAACATTTTGATACTAAGGTTAACACTATTTTGGACAGTAAAATGTAATCAACGAATTAAAAAAAACAAAAAAAACAGTTAATTTTAAAAGAATTAAAGAAAGGTCCAATTTTGTCCTAATGTTGTCCTAATTCTAGCCAGTTTTAACTAGTTTTAGTATCAATTCATACCATTATCTTTCTGGACAACAGTAACCGATGAGCTGCTCAGGCATGACTGGCAAGTCTTCATATAAAACAGTAATGCATGTTAACCACAACAACAACAAAAAACTATGGCTGATTAGAACGCTCAAGACCAAATAAAATGTGTGGAAATGTAAAATAATCATACTACATTACAATGGGGACAAATAATAAAATACTGCATGTTTAGAGTGTACATCCCAGGTGCATCTAGGTTCATAGATAACCAGTTACTGACAAGGTTGACAATACCTTCACAGCCTTATAAAATACTGTAAATTTACAAAAAGTATTGCACACAATCGCACAGCATCAAAATCACTTGGTATACCTTTTAGAGAAGGGGACCTCAGAATTCACAGCAATCTTGCTCTTGCTTCTCTCGATGGACACCACTCCGCCTCCAAGGTTTCCAGCTTTTCCATTCACTTTAATTCTCTCCTGCAGGAACTGCTCCTGGGAACGCATAAGGTAAAATTTAATCATGCAGTAGCTCATAAAGAAATAAAGAAAACATGTACCATGAGTTTCAAGTTCTAGTTAACTTAACAGTCTCATTACTGAAATCAATAACACGACCAATCCAGCCAAGATACTTAACTATTTATTACGTAAAAGAAAAGCAGATTCATGTCTTACATTTCAGTATAGACAGGTTACAAAGTATGCTTTATGAGACATGCTTTAAACTAAAGCAAAATTGGATACATACAAAGTTGGCAGCGTCCATAATGCCATCTTCAACGGGATGGGTGCAGTCCAGAGTGAACTTCAGGAGCTGCTTCTTCTTCTTTCCACCCTGCTTTCGAACGACCGGCTTCTTCAGCTAGACAAGTACATATAAGGTATTAAGGTAAACCGTGGGTACACTGATTATATTATACACATGTGCATTTGACATCTAAACAATAAATGCCAAAAACATGTTAAATCACTTCCTATTTTACAGTTGGGGTCCCATGGTATCTCCGCTGGAGTAGCCTTAGCTTCTACTGTTAGCCCAACGTGGTTTGAACTGTCAACGTAAACAATACTCATATTTTGACTTAAAACCATTCAATAAACTTTCCCCTGATTCTTCGAGATGGTAAGTGTATTTTAGTGACTAAAAATAGATAAAATAAATACGATAAATACACTTCATCAGCTAGTTTGTCTACTTACTGTCGGAGCCATGGCTGACACGTTCAGCAAAAAGGAAGGAGCGCGCCTGCGCAGAAAGTATATAGACCTCCGCGAGCATCAAACTCATCCGTTTTTCTGCGCTCGATTCACTTCAAAGTCTGTATCAAAATCATAAACAGTCTATGATCAATTTCAGTTTTGTTGCTCCACTCTGAATAATGATGCCCACGCAGACGGCATCATATTTTCAATTTAGCAGAAGCAGGACGCTATGGGGGACTCATTCCCTATCTATTTACATCACAAGCTGAGTAAGTTTACATGTGCTATACAGTTCCTAATAAGACCTACAAGTTTTATGTTTGACAGTGACAGTATAATGTTTTATCATTTTCAAGCCTATCTTGTCATTGCATTTATTCCACGAGGTGACAATTCTATGGAGAACAGTGGTTTCTTCATAACACATCTATTTTTTGAGAAACATTAAGTCGCCTCACGGTTCCAAGTCAGGTTCTGACTGAGTCTAGTCCATGTCATCAAAATATTAATTTATGACTTGTAAGGCTACATCTATGGTAATTTGGATTTCATTTGTGATTTGACAGCCCCTCATAGTGTCTTGCAGAAAGTCAAATGACAAACAAAAGTTGTGTCTGTAACCTATGTAACAAGTCTCTACTCAGTAGCCTTTTGTATATTAAATTTCCTCTTTGCACTTTGGCAACACTAGGGGCCAGGCACGAGGCGGTGCTGCCAGCTGCCTGATAGAGGGACCCCATGGCCTACAACTGAAGAGACTCTGCATTGCTGTCATTCCTGCTGCAGGGGGCTGATAGTGCCACTGAAGGATAAGACAGTGGCTCATGTGCTTTCTATGGACAAGCTAGCATGCTGCATTTAATTTAGTTGTGTTAAACAGACGTACTGCTTTGCTGACAACTTTTCAGAATAACATTTTGTTTCAGTTTTTTTCTTGAAATTGAAAGGATAATTCTAATAAACTAAAAAGGTAAGACAAGCAGATATTCTCTTCACACAAAGATATTTTATAAAAGATGTATACCAGCTTTTCCTGCTGACCTTTATGTTTACCTATACCAGACTACACCAATCATATATAGCAACTTTGTGATGATCCCACATGACCCTGTTTGTTTGCAGATGGCAGGCTCCATCTTCACTAACCTGGATAACCTGTGTAATGTGGATTGTAGCAATGTCCACCCTCTTATGTGTCACCTTTGCCACGAGCAATACCAGTCCCCTTGTCTGCTGGACTGTTACCACATCTTCTGTGCCCGCTGCTTAAGAGGGCGCACCAATGACAACCGCCTCAACTGCCCCCTCTGTGGGTAAGAAAAAGCAGTGACATATCTCATGCTCATGTCCTTGTATTTAGGCATACTATTTAATGAATCTATTATTACCCTATTTTCTGTTATTATGGTCAGTATTTCATTATTAAGAAAAAGCTGTTTTTTTAATACTTCTGGGTCAAAACAGAAAATGTTCCTCAGATACACAGTTCTTCACATAGCTTTGACAATTATAAACTAATAACACAGTTCTCTTTAGGGCTTTTGACAAATGATATTGACATGTATGGCAGGCTGCATTTAAATGTCATGATTTACCTTGTCACTTGTACAAGCTGAAAACGATTCTGGTTTGAAAAACAGGGGCGTTGGGCATCCCCTCTCTTTTGGCTGCAGTGACTTTGGAGTGAAGTTGTTGTGGAGCGGCAGTGAGTGGCCGGAGCAGCTGCGTGGTCCAGCAGTCCCTGGGGCCAACGGGTTCTGCTGAGACCAGTCAGTCACACAACAAACAAAGCATGGTGGCATTTGGCCCTGATGCCTGGAGCTCAAGGCAATCAGATGCAGTCACATGATACTGACCTATTCAAACCCTAATAAAGAATGCCCTGCCAGTCACCTTCATGTGGTGCTCACTTACCACAAGCAATAAACTTGCTACACTTAACTTCATGTAAATACACCGTCCTTGATTTTATCTACTTTGAATTAGAATTTTTGCCATTGATATGCAAGTGATGACAATGGCAACACCCACTATGACGTAAACATCGTGTGAAACAATTTTGTTGTAATCAAGTAGGTGCAGAGCCAATGGGTTCAAGCTACAAAGCCTGTTGCCTTAGTTTCTATTTCTACAAATGGCAGGCTTCACACAGCTGCTTTTTTAGGAACTGCACATCTAGGAATTCACTCTCCTCTGCAATTAGTTTTGCACAATAGGTCCCTCACTCAGACAAACACAAGCTTAACAGGAAAAGCTGGCTATTTGCAGTTATTTACAATGAGACAAGACTGGACTTTTAGAATAAAATGCCGAATAAAATAAAAATCATTTCTATACAAAATAATTATGCACACACTGTGGCTCAAATGAAATTGCTTTATTTAGATGAATTGTTTCAAGATGTAAAAACAAAAGCTCTTTGCATATAAGTTTGTTTTGTTTACATAAATCTACAACTTAACAACTTAAAATACCCCTCTTGTCTTATACTAGTATTTAAGTTAACTTATTTTGTACCCAGTTTTAACTTATGTAGAAGGGTCTTAAGTGTACTGGGTTGTTTGGTTATCTAAAAGTTATTTTAGTTATCTTGCTCATATCCCTCTGTTTTCATGTCATTCAGTCCAAGATCCTCATTCTGCTCAAATGTGCGTGTGTATTTCTCAACTGTCATTTCTGGATCTGGTTCAGGAGCATACACATTTTGCAGGTAGCTGTTCCCTGCTGGGTCATCCAAAATAATGTGAACATCCATTTCACCTGCTATTACTTTTTCAATCTTTCCACCAAACTCTTTGAGCTTCTGGATTTTATCCGTGATGCCACTGTCCCCTGAGACGAAGGGATTTTTGTCCACAATCAGATCCTTGATGTCTTTAAGAAGCCCCTCTAGCGTTGTGAACTTTCCTCCTAGTGCTGCCATTCCCAACTCAAACTCCAGTTCAGGGATGAGTACAGCACAGGTCTCGGACTTGAGCACATCCCTGGTCATGTCTGAAACATCTGTGACATGAAGGGTGATCTTAGTACCCTGCTCCTCAGTTGCCCCACCAGATTTGACTTCATTTGTCCGGTGCCCGCAGTAATCACAGTTGGTCGCCATGATGATTACTTCTTTAAAATGGGGAATATTGACAAGTTTCATGTTAGTTTTGGCAGGCCTGTTGCATTCAGGGCAATTGGTGTCAAAAATCAAAACCTCATTTCTCATAGTATCAATGTCATTTGCAGCTGGTTCATCTACTTCTGTACCATCATCATCGTCAGGTCGTACACCCAGCTGTTTGTCCTGCTCAATAGTCCGCTTAAACTTGGTCACTGTCAGAGCTTCGTCTTTCTGTGGGGCCAGAGGATTCTCCATGAAACTGTTCCCCGAAGGATCTTCTATCACCAAAGTAAATTCCTCCTCGACGTCTTTTAGCTTCTGCAGTTTTTGGATAAATTGGTCTATTCTAGCTGCCACCTCTGGATCAGCCTCTCTCCTCGCGGGCTGGTCTTGCTCCAAGCCTGCCACAGCTCTGTCCAATAACCCCTCAATAGTTGACAATGAGCCTTTTGTGTGAAAGGAGGTATTTCGAAATCCAACTCAGGAATCCTGGTAGTGGCACTGTCAGCTTTGACCACCTCGCGATTCAAATCTTGTTTTGTTTTTATCTTCAGTGTGTAGCAAACCCCCTGATCTTGAATCTGTCCCGCAGACTGAATTTCTGTGTTGGACCAATGACAGTGGTCACAATTGAAAGAGCTTACGATTATCTCTCTGAAGAAGGGTATTCTGGTGAGAAGCAGACGCGTCGTCCCATTTTTGTAGCAGTTCATGCACAAGCTCTCGATCTCTGTGGGCTGCCAGTCGTCATCAGTTCCAATATCTCTGATTATGTTCTCTCCTCGTACACCGTCTTCTCTTATACCAGACATTTTGCCCGTCTAAACAAAATGCGTCTTCGCTCTACCGACCTATGCACACTCCGAGGTAGTTTTTCGACCTTGTGCTAGAAGTTTCTCGATAAAAGCTTTCGCACACGCCTTTCTGAAGCACACGTTTGGCTTCTATATTATACTTCCGCTTCCGCGATGTCTTCTTTTGTGGTTGCGTCGTGTCAAATATTTCTGTACTGCCTCTATTGGTCCGTAGCAGAACTACTACATTGCAGGAAGTCAACCTCCAAACAAACTATAAATAATTGGTATTATCAGTAAGCTATTGTGTCTAACACTGTTAGATTTAGGCTTAATTGTACATGATATTTCATTAACTTGGTGGGACTTAGCTTACTATTTAGCTAATGAATTAATTGGATTTCTATAGCGCGTGAAATTAAATTAATCATTGGATTTCTGTAGCGCCTTTCAAGTCACCCAAATCGATCTACTGAGCATTATTCATTCATGCCACACTTGATGGTGGTAAGCTACTATTGTTGCCACAGCTGCCCTGGGGCAGGCTGAGGGAAGTGAGGCTGTCAATCTGCGCCATTGGCCCCTCCACCATCACTCACACACAAAATACGGTCATATTAGGCAAAGTACTAACGAGGCCTGACCTTGCTTAGCTTCTGACAAGCCAGTGCAGCCAACTATATATATATATATATATATATATAATATATATATATATATATATATATATATATATATATATATATATATATATTATATATAAATTATTTATTTTATTTGATTTTATTTGATTGTTATACTAGAAAATAAACAACTGCAATTAACAAAAATATTTCTTTTTTTTTTTTTTTTTGCCACAGGTATCCATCTATGCTTAAGGGGAATAATGCCCTCCCACCAGAAGATCGTCTGTTAAAGTTTCTTGTTGACAGCAACACAGACTGTGAGGAGACAGTACTGTGTGCAAACTGTGATCAGGAGAGCAGAAAGGTAATGTCTGATGATGAGTCATGCATTTTAAATGGCCAAATGTTATGTGTAATTTTAGTTTATTTAATACACTATTTTCTGCAGGACCAAGGAGTCATGTATTATTGTAATACATGCAGCCAGCCCCTGTGTGCCTCCTGCCGTGAGCTGACACATAAAGCCAGAATGTTTGCCCATCATGAGATTGTGTCCTTAGCCAAGCGCACCCGAGCCAAACACAAGATGTGCTGTGAGTGGTGCCTTTAATCAACTTAAATCACAAATACTAGGTCACCGCTGCTTTATTAAATGAGTACAGATGTGCATGTTTGTGGTCGCCCTGTTGGTACATATGGATTCTGCTCAGGTCCCGATCAAATTCTGGAAGGCACCTGTGTGCAGAAATTTCAATGAGCCCTAAATGCTGCAGTGTTTTTGCTTCTCTGCTTCCATTTTCCACACAATATATACGTGCTATGTAAAAGTCATTCTTTATATTTTAAAAGTCAACCTGTGTTTTGCACATTATTCTGGGCCCCTTTAAAGTGTGTGTCAAAGCTGGCTCAGTGCAGTAGCAGAATACACACACTGAAGTTAAAAGACATTTGTATCTCTGCAGCTCTTCACCAGGAGCCCTATATCCTCTTCTCAACTCAGAACAAGTCAATGCTTTGCATCAAGTGCTTCAGAGACATGCAAGTGTGAGTGGTTTTTCACACAATATTTATGGAAGTGAAAAGTTATCTCCTCTCTTTAAACTGGGGTTTGTTCTGTGCTCATGAAGAGAGAGTCGGACCCACTGCATTGATATTGAAACTGCATATGTCCAAGGCTGTGAGATGTTGGACCAGGCTGTCCTGGTAGGATATTAGCTTTCAGTTACACACATCCTGCATATACAATGTCTAAAATGCTTATTATGCATTTATTTAATTTGATATTTTTCTTTGTGGCATCTCAGGTGGTGAAAGAGCTACAGACTTCAGCACGAGAGGCAATAGTTCTGCTGAGAGCGATGATAGGTGAAGTGTGCTTGAATGTAGAGGAAGAGGAGAGTGCTATTTGTACTCTGTTCAACAGCTTACAGGTTGTATTATTGTTCTTTTTTTAATGTGATTCCATTTAATATATTTGATATTTGATTGATCCTAAAAGTACTGGTATAGACACTAGCCATCATATGTTTGTAATCATTTTCAATTCTTCATTCACAAATTTTAGGTTATTGTCCTTACTGAAAGTATAAAAAGATCTTATTATAGGTCCATGCTACAGTCTGACAACATTTGCACAGTTTGTCCACTAGGTGTCACTAGTGTCCTTGTGAAAACCCAAATGAACTGCCTTTGCAACCCACTAGAGCCCTGTACAACCCATTTTGGAATCTTCATCTTTTTGTTTCTTATTTAATTGTTTGACAGCTCAAGGGCATGCTACATTATAAAAAGCACTTATTTGTCTTTTGCAGGAGAAGTTAGCAGAAAGAAAGAAGATTCTGTTAAAAGCAGCACAAAGGTAATGCATGCAGAGTTCCAGATCTGCCAAATGTGTTCTATTATAGTTTTGTTCCATGTTGTCTCAAATCTCTTGGCACAATGGGAGAATCATATTATGCAGCACACAATGGATACATCTTATTAGCTGACATAATTGTATGTCTGTGAATGAATGAAGACTCAGAATGTAACATGTAATAAAGATAAGACAATAACCTTTTTAAATTATTATTACGGTGTGGTTCTTGTTATAAAAATAGGATAAATTATACTGTTAGTTAAATTAATATGTCAATTGCTTCATTCGTACAACAGTACTTGTGTTAAATGTTCAGGCTGTGCAGTGTGAATGTGTGAAATTCTCATTCACAAATGGTTCAAAATGACTACATAATGATCCAGGTCAGTTCTCTCTGTCTGCTTTTCCATTGGTACGTGTGCATGAGGCAATGAGAACAATTTTGTGTATGCCAGTGAGTGTATCAGGTTACTCTCTGTGGGGATTTTTAATGAGATTTTTTGTGACAAGTGTCTTCCATTACTTTCCTCTCGATCACTTGCCTGGAAGACATCCAGCGGCAGGCTTCCCAGAAGGCTGTTAAAGGCTATTTATGTTATGCTTTTGTGTGTCCGGCCCATAGCGGCTCTCTGTGTTTGTTACAGCAGGGAGACAGATAGATTAGTTGCTGGAAACAGGGCGTGCGCTGGTGGCTGGGTGTACTTCCTGAGCTGAATCCTGTGAGTGTGGATGGGATGGTGTAGAGTTACATGTTTGTGTGTGTTTGTTTTTGCAGTCAACACGAAGAGAAGGAGAAGGCACTGAAGGAGCAGCTCTCACACCTCACTGCTCTCCTGCCTACACTTCAGGTACACTCCAACTGCACAACTGTGCCAACTTGCTTTTCATTTTAGTAACAATAATAGATTTTATTTACTTTGCACTTTGAAAAGTATTGCAGTGCAGTTGGTTAAAAGTGTAGTTTTAACCCGCTATGCTGGATAACTTTAGCCTTAAAGCCAGTTTGCCAGGTGCACTAAGTTATCTGTCAAGTGGTTCACCTGCTTCTTGTTTCAGTGGAGATGTTACAGATAGCAGACCCTCCACCAGAAAAGTTGCATAATTCACCTTTAATTCATAGTATCGCTTTAATCACTTTACTTTACTTTTTCACTTTACTTTATTTATTCAAGATGATTTTTTTTTTTTTTCCAGGTTCATCTTGTCACATGTTCTGCTTTTCTCAACTCAGCCAACAAATTTGAGTTTTTGGATATGGGATATGTAAGTACTGCTATTGTAGCATATTGGGCCCAACCTTCTTATTAAAACATTTCAAATTTGTAATTGTATACTGAACTGTGATAAATGTAAAAAGATGTTCTTAAGACCATGCATGCCACAATGTAAAAATATTGCAAAGATCATTGTGAAGAGACATACAGTTATACAGTTGTTGACAATTAGGGACACCATGACCAAACAAACGAAGTGGAATACTTTGTTCTTGACTATGATTAAATTGTGACCTGAATAATCCTGATTATCGATTAACTGAATAATGAATGACATCTCTACTAAAGCCATTATAGAAGCATTAGCCAGTTCAGCCCAGAGTCACGTTAGTATGAAACAGGGGTCATCTATAATGTCTGTGCGAGGTAAAGGAGGTCACAGAATCACCCCTGGATATTTTTGCTTACACAGCAACTGATGGAGCGACTGCAGTGCATTGTAAAGCTGCCTCATCGGCTCAGACCAGTGCAAAGCAGCAAAGTGAGTACACGCATACCCAAAATCAAACTCTTTTTGCTGTATTTTGAGATAGTAACATACATAATTAATACAATAAAATAATAATAATAAAAAAAACTACATTCCAGATAACTGAATCTTACATATGCTCAATTTGCTCAATTACAAAAACACCAGAAGAAGTGAAACCCGAATAGTGTTGCTTAGGGTTATTTTTCCTCACAATAAAGCATAAAGCAAAGCCATATCCTGATCATGTATTTTCCTGTTAAGATCAACACTGATTATCGCAATGAGTTTGCCCGGTGCCTTGAGCCGCTGCTGCTGATCGGAGCACGTGGCCCTGCTTCTGTCAGTGGCTGCACCAACAGGTACAATCATTAACCTCGCACTGATTTGTTTAACCTCTGTCATGTAGTCAGAGCTTTCCTGGAAGCTCGTCATTTCGTGTGTAGGCTTTGCTGCCATGGCTGTAGTCGTGTTTTTTGGATGCTTCCAAGAAATAAAAATCTTTGATAGTTTATGTCACACTTGTGAAGCATCCCAACTTCAAATCCAGGAATGGTTGAGAGTGCAGATGGCAGACGGTGATGACTGCAGGGAGAGGAAAGGAGGCGCCATGCTGAGTCCCACTATGGCAGTAATTCTGTCCATCAGTGAGCTGCGGATGCTCCTGTTTACGTAACACACTGTTCACTCACTGTACTTTCTGTGGGGAGGGGGGCCGACAGGGGACTGAGGACATGTCTGCAGGTATACAGTCTCTAAATTACAGTATTCTTTATTTATAATTGGAGGGTTTTAGTCTAGTCTCTTTGAAATTATATTTGGGCCTTGAGAAAATTGCTTATTTTTCATAATGTTAATGTGACATTAAGGCAGTATTATGTCATGGATCATGAAATGTACAACCCAAGTGAAAATAACAAATACCTTAATGTTCTTGGCACTAAATTAAATA